TACCAGAAGAGAGAATTGAGACATCTCCCCCCTTTACTTATTGTGGGCTTGATAGTTTTGGCCCCTTTATTGTGAAGGAAGGAAGGAGAGAGTTGATACGATACGGATTGTTATTCACCTGCCTATGCTCTAGAGCAGTTCACATAGAAACTCTTGACGATTTGACAACAGACGCATTCGTGTGAATGCACTTCGATCATTCATAGCTATTCGAGGACCCCGGCGCCAGCTAAGATGTGATAGAGGAACAAACTTTGTTGGTGCTAGAAAGGAGCTTTCTGAGTTGCTTGAAGGAATGGAACACAACTGTACAAGGGCGCTTGGTTGTGAATTTCTGCTGAATGTTCCATCAGCTAGTCATATGGGAGGAGTTTGGGAGCGCCAGATTCGAACAATCCGAAGCATCTTGATAGCTATGCTCGACAAGTCCGCCAGCAGACTTGACACCACAACTCTAAGAACGTTTCTGTATGAAACAATGGCCATAATCAACAGCAGGCCACTAAGTGTCGAGCATCTTCATGATCCTACTGGTCCGGAACCCCTCACTCCCAACCACATTCTAACCATGAAATCATCTGTAATTCTGCCACCTCCTGGACAATTCTGCAAAGAAGACCTCTATCTGCACAAAAGGTGGAGAAGAGTGCAGTTTTTGGCCAATGAATTTTTAAACGAGAGTACCTGCTAAATCTCCAACAACGACAGAAATGGCAGAAGACGTCACAGAACTTGCAAGCAGATGACATTGTAATATTGAAGGATGACAGAGCACCAAGAAACCAGTGGAAACTTGCAAGAGTTGTGAAAGCCCTGCCCAGCGCAGATGGCAAGGTGCGAAAGCTAAAGCTTCTGCTCAGTGACACTACCTTTGATAAGGGAAAACCAATCACTAAATTAGTTTACCTTGAAAGGCCTGGTCACAAAGTAGTTACATTACTTGAGGTAACCTAAAACACACGTAAAGCTAAACGACCTACACTTAAATGTACATTCACACATCACCTCCTCATATTTTTGAGGAAAATCTCTCATTTTAAGTCAATGAGTGATTTGGTGGGAGTGTAAATGCTGTTAAAATGTTCTGTGTAGATTTAATGATGTAGGTGACTGATTATAATAAGCTACATAATTTCATGAATATATTTGTGTTGAAATGTCTTTATTTTAAATGTACATGTGTAACGTGTAAGAGCTAGTGTCTCGTGAGAATACCCTTAACGAGAGTACACGATACCTTTTCATGGACTGTGAGGGAGCAGATGTCTCTCATGAAGCGATTTTAAGCTAAAGGTTTACTAAAGGAAAGGGCAACACAAGGACTTAAGGACCTCTTTTCAGGACAAGCTGCCAACGAGGTATTTGTCATTTGAGAAATGTTTTATTCGTGTTTGGACTTAATTTGTGTACTGTAAAGTTGCTAATTGGTCTGTATTGTTCACTCGTGATCAGTTCTCACGGCGTATTGGTGTAACGGTGAAGCCAAGGAGCCCAAGTAATAAACGCCCGTTTCAAAGAACCGACCTGCGTCTGTGTTGTCGTGAAGAATACTCCTCGGGAAGCACACAAGTCAGTAGATTATCAGATATTCCTGTGGAAGCAATAATTTGAAGTAGCAGCAAACTTTGTATCTCCACGGGTCCGGAACACTTGCAAACAGCATATTGATCTTTGTAAAAGCACTTATCGTAATCCAGCACAGGGAAGAGCAGCAGGCAGGTCGTCCTGGCGAGCAAAGTATCCCAGCAGCCATGCTGGAACAAACGGACGTCCAGGTCCCACGAGCCGGAGCTCCAATCAGGAGGAGTAGATTCCGATGACAAGTCACAGCACAGGGCACTTTAATGTAGACACACAAAATGGCGTCTTATGCAAATTAACAAACAAAAATAAACCTAGCACTATGAGTACCTGCGAGTACTATGTGTAGGAATTATGTGAATTAACCTAAGTGAAGAAATGGGTGCAAACTCTCTATGTGTAATGCAAAAAGTGGTGCAAAAAGAATAAAATTAATAGAACCCCATACTGCGTATGGGGGTACTCACTGCACTACGTAAAGATATAATCAAACTGAAGGGCTAAAATGGCTGTAGCCCCTGATGGTAGTGATGAGATCCTGAGGCCCATTGCTGTGCCGTACATCCATGAACATCACCTCATGTTTCAGGAAGATAATGCACAGCCCCATGTTGCAAGAATCTGTACACAATTTTTGGAAGCTGAAAATGTCTCAGTTCTTGCATGGCCAGCATACTCACTGGACATGTCACCCGTTGAGCATATTTGGGATGTGCTTGACCGGCGTATATGACAGCGTGTACCAGTTCCCACTAATATCCAACAACTTTGCACAGCCTTTGAAGAGGAGTGGACCAACATTCCACAGGCCACAATTGACAATCTGATAAACTCTATGCGAAGAAGATGTGTTGCACTGCATGAGGCAAATGGTGGTCACAACAGATACTGACATTTCTGAGTCCCCAGACCCCCAATAAAGCAAAAAAATAAAATAAAAAATAAAATAAAATAAAATAATGCACATTCCAGGGTGGCCTTTTATTGTGGGCAGTCTAAGGTACACCTGTACACTACTCATGATGTCAGATCAGCTTATTGATGTGGCACACCTGTGAGGTGGGATGGATTATCTCAGCAAAGCACAGGTGCTCACTATCACACATTTAGACTGATTTGTGAACAATGTTTGAGAGAAATTGTGATATTGTGTATCTGGAATGAATTTTCGATCTTTAAGTCCATCTCATGAAAAATGGGAGCAAAAACAAAAGTGTTGCGTTTATATTTTTGTTCAGTGTATTTCACTTCCGTGTTGGCCTCAATTTCAGACCCGCATTGTGGGACTAGCATCAAAGAACGTCTCAGCTACTAGGTGCTAACCATTAGCATTAGCAACTCCACCACGCAGCAGGACTCTTTTAGGCTTGTGTTCTTTGAAGAGGTAAAACATCAAGGTTACAAAGCAAACAAAGTTTATTTCCTACTAGAAACCACTGCAAATGTGTTGATTAACAGAGTGATCCACAACTTTAAAGATACAGTTAAGCATAACAATAGGGAACAGTCTTTAATACAATGTCTATTCTGGAGAGAAGGGTCTGCTGGATAGTTGAACCTAGAATTCAGGGGGAGTCCAGGAATACTGGACACTTAGCAGGGTTCGGTAGTTTGCCCAACATATCTGTGTATTTTCTGAGGATTTGTAAAAGGTGATAGACCATGTTCCTTGGGGAGGGCTGTGATGGAAACTCTAGGAGTATGGGGTAAGCCCCTTGATATGGGCTGTTAGGTCTCTGTATTACCCTGTCAGCGCTTGGTTCACATTGCCAACAGTAAGTCAGGCTTGTTCCTGTTGAGAGTTGGACTCCTCCTGTTCTTTGTCACCAACACTCCTCTGTTCATAAGCTTAATGGACAGGATTTCTAGGTGCAGTCAAGGTGGTGAAGGGAACCGTTTTGGTGGCCTAAGGATCAGGTCTCCGCTTTCTGAAGGTGACGTGGCCCTGTTGGCTTCATCAGAATGTGATCTCCAGCTTTCACTTGAGGGGTGTGAAGTGTGAAGCAGCAGAGAATCAGCTGCTCTAAACCATGATCTTGGGTCAGAAAAGGGTAGAATGCCTTCCCCAGGTCAGCGATGAGGTACTGCCCCAAGTTTAAGTATCTTGGGGTCTTGTTCAAAAAAAAGGGAAGATGAAGAGAGAGATCGATAGGCGAACTGATGCTGCGCCTACAGCGATGTGGGTGTTGTACCAGTCAGTCGTGGTGAAAAGAGAACTGAGTCGGGGGACAAGGCTGTTGATTTACCAGTCAATCTAAGTTCCAACCCTCACCTATGATCATGAGCTTTGGGTAGTGACCGGTAGGTATGGCTCGGGGTAGATCTGCTGCTCCTCCACATCAAGAGGAACCAGTTGAGGTGGCTCGGGCATCTGATGAGGATGCCTCCTGGTGAAGTTTTCTGGGCAGATGCATGCAGCACTCGTGTGAATTTAGGGCCCTGCATTTTCCACTGCCATGGCTGGGTTGTCTTTCTATTCTGTTTTTTTTTTTTCAGCTGAGAAGTTATCATGCAAGTTCCCCAAAAATTACAAGAAATCCGAAGGTTTCTTGTAAAGAGAAAATCTTAACAAGCGTTCAAACTGTTTTCATGTCAAAGGAAACTTTTCAGATGCTGGTTTGAGACTAAAACCAAGGGATTAAATACTACTTTTATTTATTATTTTTTATTTAACATAATCAATGCTTTTCTTTGAGAAAATATAGACTTCTATAAATATAGTCAACAGAAAATAAATTTAAAAAATTTATGTAAAACTACTTAACGGATATAGTATTTAGTAATAAAAACACTTTAATAATTAAAATGTGAGTTATCTTTTATTTGTAACAATATTATCAAGATCTCCCACATCATTTTTTCAGTGATGCTAAATATTATAACATAATAAATTATAAGGTTGTAAAAGACAGTTTGTGCCTTTAGCGGTCCTCCAGGAAATCTGGTGATATAATTATATAGAAGAAGGCATTAGCACCATCTAGTAGTCAATCCTGGCAGATGGAGTAGCACCCTCACCTTCATCTTTTAACTCATTTTGCAACGTTTTTTTTTTATCTTAACCAAATAGTTTTAGAGTCTAAAAACTTTCTAGAGTGACAAATGTGATGGAATATGGTCTGAAGCTGATTTAAAACCAAGAAATCCTCACCGTTTAGTGAAGCAATGGTATGTTTTTCAGAAATACATGAAGACAAAAACATTTTAACCTCAAATATTGGTTTCCAGAGATAGAACCACTGGTGATAATTTACATAAGTTTACATCAGAAATTTACACACAACCAAATCTATGATTGTTTAGACTGCACCCTTTGTCTGTAAAAAGGAAATACATAAATCACAAACTGAGTATTAAAAGAACAGTTTCCACTGCTCAGATGGTTAAGAGAAGTTCGAAGGTAACAGAAAGGAGACATCTTTCTGAGGTAACAGTGTTTATGAAACACCTGAGCAGCATAAAGCACTGACAGATACATTAGTTCCACTCCAAATGGTAAAATTCATACAAAGCTGAAGAATGAAACATTATTTTTAAAAGCAGAGCTACGTGTATTCTTATCTTAACTTTTGTTCTGGTTGCAGAATCGGTCAGAGGAGCAAACCAAAGCTAAACATAAAACCCACACATGCATGAATGACGGGATAAAAGAAAAACTGGGAATAAGGCAAAGACGTGGTTTAGCTTCCTGCTCTCACGCACAAACGGCATTTGGACGTTTTCTCTCACAACATAAAAAAAATAAACCCAACAAATAAATGCCCTGGCATGCTGGAACTAGGACGTTTTCAGCTCTTATCACAAGTCTCTTCAGGTAGCTGGGGCGCGTCATCTGCAGGATACATGTTCGGTGGCATCGGTTATACTGCAACGAATGTTTGATCTCCTCGGCTAGAGTCTTTTAGCTCTGGAGTCTCCAGAAGATGATCTGCCTGTCATCTCCTCCTGTGATCACGGTGTTGCAGAGATCATTCATCCACATGGCTGTGACTACACCTGGAAAACAAACGCCGCACTGAAGTTGTTATTTTAATAAAGACACTTTTATTGTTTTCTCCACACTTTCAGAGACAATCGTTCATGTTCTGCACATGAGACTGAAATGAAACTTTGGTTCATTGGTGTTCTGGATGACTGAGAATCTGCAGCAATGCCTTGGAGCAATTTTTAGATTAAAAAAAATCTTTGAAAATGACTTTGTGTTTTACTTGTTGAGGTTTATAACTGTGAATCAGCTTTGAGCAACATAGGCTGAGGGATTGACCAGTAAAAAAGGGTTCTACCCGAGTGTGCAGGGATCCTTTTGGTGACCGTATTACTGAGCAGGTCCCACAGAAGGAGGTCTCCTGATTGTCCTCCACACAGCACCGTGTTCCCGTCCCAGCAGAAACACCTACAGAGACATGATGGTGAACCCTTCTGACGGGCACGTCCAAAAGGACGTCAGGACAACTAGAACTGGCTTCGTGATGACTTCCATAAAGTCACTTACCTCTGTTCCTCCTCTGCCTTCACAGACGAGATCACCATTCCTGTCTGGACATCAGTGACCTTCATGAAGGAGTCGGCACCAACACTGAGGACATGTCGGCTATCTGAGGAGGAGAACATCAGGAGAATGCCATGAAGGTGTTTGTCAGCAGATGTAAAACAACACTTTCAGGTTGCTGGTGTGACTCTTTACCAGGACTGAAAGCCAGGTGGTGGATGGTCCCTGTATGGCAGAAGACCTGCTGAAGGCTCCTGTAGCTGCTGGTGTCCCAGATGGTGACTGTCCCGTCTTTACAGCCAGAGACCAGCAGAGTACCAGCTGGATTCATACTGACCGTGTTCACCTGGATGTAAAACATGTCCAAAGGTTTTCAGCTTCTAAAAAAAAAACAATCTGTTTGGGTTCGATTCATGTGGAGCTCAGGGTCCCTCTAGTGGTCATCAGCGGTTGTTCTGGTATCAACCATTTCCAGGTTAAACGCAAAGCTAATTAACCAACACTGGCTAACTTGTGATGTAAATTTTAGTTCTAGCAGCTCCTCTAAACCAGGGTTAGGTGTGTTTTAATGTCTCCAAGGCTAACTTAGTTCCTGTTTGGAGTAGAGCTCTAGAAAGTCATCACGTTTATTTAGAGCCAGAAGATTTTTCAGGTTTGTAGTTTGATTTAAGGGAAAACTCGATGATAGACCTCTGTTTTTTACGTTTGCCAGTTTGGTTTTAACTGCTGGGTTAAAGTTAGGACAAACGCGTTTAATCTTCGGGTCGGAATGAGTTCCTCAACAGTCAAACAAGTCAGCTATGCTACTGCTGGTCCTCATGTCTGCCATCACAGCAGTACTCAGTATTAGAGGATAGTACTTTCTCAGGTGAAGAACTATAAGAAGTGTTTTAAATGCACAGATGAGCTGGTTCAGTAAGAATTCCATGGCGCTGTGGATAACCCGTCATTCAGGTAAAACCAGCATGTTTCTGACTCACCCCAGCATCGTGTTCCAGTTCAGCCAGCAGCTCAAACTGGGATCTCCTGTGACTGGATGAGCTGATGGAAGCACACTCCCAGATCTGTCAAATAAACACCACAGGATACAGATTCAGTAAAAATGGAAGATGTTTTAGATCATTCAAACCTATATTTGCTGTTTCTTACCTTAACGGTAGAATCCCAGGACGCCGTGAAGAGCCGATCCTCAAACCAGCACATCTTGGTGACGGCGTCATCGTGACCCATCAGCGTGTGCTGCCTCCGCCCGTATGGGATGGAGTAGAAATAGCTGTCAGGGAGGAGAGAGCAGATCAGGGCAGAAGGAGTAAAGTGTGAACAGATGTTTTAAATCAGCACGTACACGTTGTTGTCCCATGAAGAACACACCGCAGTTTTACCCTCGGGCAGCATCAAGCATGAGGATAACGGCTGGAAAACAGAGAGTTGGTTTAGAGAGCTGGAGGAGGTCAGAGGGAGGAAAATCAGCTGTTTACCATGTTAGAGAAGGACATGCTTCTCTGGAACTCCTTCAGCTCTTTGGAAAACATTTTAAGTGTCGAGTCTGAAAAAAGAGAAATCTTAAACTGAAGGGACTCGAGCTCTAAAACCTCCATGAAAAAATACCTAAACACTTTGTCTTAAAATCTTTCCTGTATTACAGTGAAAACCTGAACTTGTCTCAGTTCCTCACCTTGAGATGTAGAGAAGATTGAAGCTCCGTCTCGAGTGGCAGCGATCCCCGTCACAGATCTGCACAGAACAGATGTATTTAGTCACCTCGTGTGCAAAAAGCCACAAAAACAACCAAAAAACAAACAAAAAAAAAAAAGAGAAAGAATGGTGTCAAAGTATAAAAACTTTCTCCTATCCCTCATTTATTTAAGTCAGAACTTGGATCTTTGGTGTGCATGACCCACTATAGCATCAGTGTGGCCTGGTGGACCTCCTGACTCACTCCTTATGGATCTTGTGACTGGAGATCCGTTCCAGACTCTCCATGTTGGCCCAGGCCATCTTCCTGCTCTCCTCTGTCAGGTCTTCAAAGGACGAGTCCTCACACAGAGACCCTAGAGGGAGGATGTGGACACTTACTCAGCATAAACTCAGACAGGACTGCTTCTCTTTGGGTGGAGAGCTTACCTGGGGCCAGCTCACTGGTGGGGGAGCTTATGCTGGAGCTTCGGGTGTTGTTCTGAAACCTGGGTATGATCCTCTGAGGGTGAGGGCTGGTGAACAGCTGTTTGGGAGTCTGACCAAACTCCAGGATTTGGGTGAGCATAGCGATTCTCTGATCGGTGTCCTTGATGCTTCAGAGTGAGACAGAGAGGAATGTTAGTCATGATCCAGCAGACTTACTGGGAACGTTGGTTTCATTACCTGTCGCAGTCGACTCCACCTTCATAAGTCAGCGGGTGAAACACTAGAGGACACGAACACACACGCTAGTCTGAATGGTTCTGGTGAGTTTCGTGGTGAAATCAGAGGCTGGCGTACCGTTCTGAGCTGCTACAGCCTCACTGCCTCTCTGTTTGAAGCCAAACACCAAGTCGATCCACTCGTTAAGATGCTCCGACACAAACTGGCTCTCCAGGGCTTCCTTGTGCTTCTGGAGAAAATCCCTGGCGTCTGGAGGAATGTGATAAACAGGTGAATAGAGGCTGAATAGACAAATAATCGCATTACACCGATTAATAAAAGATCTGACCTGAGGCCCAAGGAGGAAGGAGAACGTCACCAACTAACGCTCCGTTCTGCCGTTTGCCCAAATCCAGTTTCATACCGTTTTCCAGGAAGCTGGAATCATTGCCGTAAAACTCTGGAATGAGCTACAGCAGCAGAAAAGTACAGATCATATAAAATATTTACCACAACAAGAGAAGAAGTAAAGAGGCTGCTTCATTTCCTCCACTGCCTCAGATCTGCTGACTCTACCCAGTTTGTTGAAAACATTCAATATTTCACCTCTTTAAAGTCCGTTGCCCCCTCCAGGCAGTTTTTCCACGTGTCACCAATACTGTGGGAAATAAAACGACATGAGCGAGAGATGTGCAGAAATAAGACTGTTTGGATGCAATACTTTAGTCAAAGTGAAATAAACAGATGTTTGTACAGATTTTGATGATTTGTACCTGTTGAACATCCGATCTGCGTGATCATAACGACCATTCTGCAGACACAACATGTGCTCTGGAGCTGGAGATTAACAGAAAGTAAAAAAAAAACTCTAAGATTATTTCTTCATTTGTCCTGATAAATCTGAGTGTTTTTATTTAAAACAAATAAAAGTTGAAGGTTTTTCAGCACATACCGACTCGGACTAGATAAAAGAGGATGTATCCCGGAGACGAGTAGTGACTCCCGTACATGAAGCGGGGTTCCGGCATGCCTCTGTACCGAGCCTGATGGTACAAACACACCACGGCTATTCCTGAGGAGCTTTTCTACATAAAGGTTCAGTTTAGAGCAGAAATAAACAAACATCTCACCAGCAGGCCGTCCAGTCGCTCTTTATTCAAGGCTCCTACTGGTTTACTCAGGTCTCTGAATGTGGCAGCGTTTGCCAAATCTAAAAAAAATAAAATTAAATAAAAAAAAATCTCTTAAAATGGGTTTAAAACAAGATGAGATGCAGCTCTTTGGCGTTTCACACATCTGCCCCACCTAACTGTGAGCTGGTGTAGTCAGACACCACCCAGGGGAACACGGGGTACTGGGACAGATCGTTACAGCTGCGGTCGGCCAGGTTGTTGAGGTGGAGGAGGTACTGGTAGTTACTGAGATGACCGCGCTGCCACTGCAGCATGTAACTCTCAGCCGTGTGCTCGGTCATGTGGTTCTCTGAGACACAAAAACAGAAGATGTTTAGTTCTGGTCTTTGGTCAATTTGGATTTTTGCAAGTTTTACCACCAAACAACATCAGTAAGATATCCCACTTTTAGCTAGGACCTTTGCAGGGACTCTTTCTGATCTACTGAAGCATAAGATTTCACTGATGTTCCAGTAAAATCCTACGTGACGTGTGTGTGTGTGGAGCCGGTTTCAGACATCAGCTCTGATCCTCTCCATCAGCATCAAACTGTCAGAACAGCAGCTGATGAAGGTGAAGGAGACAATCGACGAAGAGCTTGGATTACGGAGACAGAGCGGCTCTGCTGATTTTTGCATTAAATTTCTGTTGGCAGATAATCCGTCTAATCTGGTTTCTTTGAAGTCCATCGTGTCTGATTTCATTAGCATCAAATCTGCAGAGCAGATCTATATTTGCTTTTGTACCAAGAGTTAAAAATGTTCCAAGAACATCTCTACAAAGGTAGTTTTTGTTACACGTCCGTGCATTTTAACTCTCTGGAGGTGTAAACTAGGAAAAATCACTTCAAACATCACCAAACTAAAAACGAACATAAACGCGGTTTGTGTTGAGCGAGTGTGCCGTTATAAGTCTGATGTTTGTTGGAGCTGATCTGTAGGGAGTGGAAAGCTCAGATCGGTTTTCCCACCCAGGAAAGAAGCAATGTAGTAGTAGATGTCATCTCTGTCGGTGGGGAGGTAAAACTTCAGGTAGATGTCTGAGCAGAAGTCGTTCTCAGTGCAGAACACCTCCAGCCCCTGAGTAAGCACAAATTAGAAACTCAACAGTGTTTAAATTAACTTTATGTATGAAGCAGTCTGAGGATTTCTCACCAGAGGTCTCAGGCCGTGTCGTCTTTTGTAGATCCTCCTGATTCTGTGCAGTTTGATCTGAATCACATGTTCCTGAAACATCAAGGAGGATTTTTAAGTCCAGCTGAAGGAAACAAGGAGAGCATCGCCTTCACCACCTCCTCCGAGAGGCTCGTGGACTCACCGGATATCCGTTAAGAGGCTGGAAGTAGAGGCTTTGATCCGTAACACAAACGTGGCCTGGGTTACACACGAGAGGCAGGACCATCTCAGCTGAACACTCCATGTGTGGCTTTTCCACAACACTCTGAAAGCTTTACAGCAGATTACCACAATCTGACTCGAAAACTGTTATTTAGATTAGACAGAATCTGATCAGATACCAACCAGTTCTTATCAAATGACGTCCTCGCTAACCGCGACTGCAGATTAGCAGCAATCTAACAAAAACAGGAAGGTAAAAATGAAAATTTTGTGCTAAATAAACACAAACTGATCATTTAAAATCCATCCATGCTGGAATCAAAGGCTTCAGTAAAAATAAACTAACCATAGCAGTCTGATCTCCAAGTTTCTCCAGACAGGAAGCTCTGTGGAGCTAGCAGATGTAACAGATTCATTAGAAAATAAATGTTTAAACCGTGACTCATTTAAACAAACTTACAATTAGTTTCAGTTTTATCCAGTAACTCATTTACCTGCAGAAATGTCTGAACAACATCTTCTGTTTTACTCCAAGACTCCAACTCAAAGTTAAGCGTCTTTGATCCCTGACAAGGAGAATTAGGAGTTTATTTGAAAACGGGGGAAAAAAAAGGCAAATTTACAACATCACATGGAATTAAAGCCATTTTTAACTTTCATTTCTCTGCAGATTTTATAAAGCACTCTCATGCAACAAGACCCCTGGAAGACTGCAGGTGATATTTCTGTTTGTAAAGAACTAAGCAGGGCTGCAGCAGACTCACCCTTTCATTCTGATAAGGTGCTATAATGTTGCTTTCCTTAATGAAAATCACCTGAAACAAAAAAGTAAAAGAGAAATCAGATGACGTGATAATATTCTGCAGCATCTGAACCGCACAGAGCAACAAGATTAACTAAAACACCTCCTCACCTGTTTACATGAAACGGAAATGACCGGTGGCTTTGGCCTGCCGAAGTCAAAATACAAAACTAGTTTTTAACGCAGAAAAAAAAATCTACTTTTTACACATAAAAACACAATAAAACAGGGGAATTCCTTTTCACAAGCAACCCAATAAAAAGGTTGGTTTCAGGTTCAGTTCACTCACTTGATGAAAGGATTCTTCTCTGTCTCCTCAAACTTAATCTTCTGACAGTCTCGCAGAGGAATCTGCAGAATCATCAACAATAATGATGGTTGAAAAACAAAAAGAGCAGCAAAACATGAAAAAACAGAAGTGGAAGCCACGTCTTTAGATCTTCAGCTGCCAGAAATCTCCATATAAGCTGCTTTTTTGGATTTAAATGTAAAGGTTTTACTAGAACATGCGTGATAACAGGGAGGAACGGTCGTAATCAGAATCACTCCCCGAGTAGGAAGACTTCTACCCAGAGTTCACGTTTTCAGGAAGCTACAGGACCTGATATGTGTCAGACACGGATTTTCTACTGAATTTCTCCAGCTAATGGACTCCTTCAGCTTTCCCCAGCATGTTTCTGGCCCCACACACACCAGGGGACACCCTCTGGATCTTGATTTTACCCTGAGTCTAAATGCTGACGGCGTTTGTCCTGAGGACGTTTATATTTCAGATCACCATTGCATTTTCTTTAACTTGTCAGTTTCTGAGTCCCCACCTCCCGCTCGCCGTATGGTTAGTTCTCGTTTTCTTAATGAGAGCACAGCTAGCAAGTTTTCTGCTGCTTTTGATCGACCCTGTTCTTCTGATGACGACCCAGATTCCTTAACTTCTCAGTTTAATGAGCACTGTCTCTCCATTCTGGACAACATCTGTCCTGTCAGAACCAGATCAGTTCCTGCAGTGAACCCTACTCCCTGGTTTAATGACAGCCTTCGCAGCCTGAAGCGCCAATACAGAAAAATTGAGCGCTTGTGGAAGAAAACCCATCTCCACGTCCATCTGCTGCACCTAAAGGATCTTCTGACATCCTTTAACTCTGCAGTCTGAGACGCTAGGGTTTCCTATTTCTCCAACCTGGTGTCCCAGAGCAAAGGGAACCCCAAGGTGCTGTTTAACACCATCAGCAGCATCGTCTCTCCTGCCTCTCCTACAGCCTCCATCCACTCTGTTGCAGACTGTGAGAACTTTCTGTCTTTCTTTGTGGACAAAGTCAATAAGATTAGATCTAGCGTCTCTCCTTCAGCCTTATCGCTGTCTCTCCCAACTCCAACCAGGCCCATCATCCTAGATAGCTTTGCTCCTGTTTCTTTGCCTGAGTTAACCAAACTAGGTAACTCTATGAAGACCTCTGCATGCCCCCTCCACATCTTACCCTCATCTTTGTTTAAAAGTGCTTTTCAGTCCATCGGTCCCAGCGTGCTCTCTATAATTAATGCTTCTCTGGTTTCTGGTCAGGTCCCTGCTTACTTTAAAAATGTTGTAATCCACCCGCTTCTTAAAAAACCGAGTCTTGACCCCTCTCTCCATAGCAGCTTCAGACCCATCTCTAAACTTCCGTTCATCTCCAAGATCTTGGAAAAGTTTGTGGCAAAACAACTCACAGCTGCTCTTGATGAACATAACATCTATGATAGCTTCCAGTCAGGTTTTCGTAGAGCTCATTCTACTGAAACAGCTCTTCTTAGGGTCTCTAATGACCTTCTGACTCACAGTGATGCAGGGGACTGTTCTGTTCTGGTCCTGCTGGACCTGACTGCAGCCTTTGACACTGTTGACCATCACCTGCTACTGGAGAGGCTCAGAGACTGGGTAGGCCTATCAGGAACTGCTCTGGAGTGGTTCTCCTCTTATCTCTCTGAGCGCTCCTTTTCTGTGGCCATCTCCAAGTTTAGGTCCTCCACCACCTCTCTTACCCATGGTGTCCCCCAAGGTTCTGTGCTGGGGCCTCTACTCTTCCTCCTCTATCTGCTTCCTCTTCAGCACATCCTGAGCTCCTTCAAAGGAATCTCCTACCATCTGTATGCAGATGACATCCAACTGTACATCTCCTTTAAGCCCCATGAGATGTCTAAGCTGCAGCTGTTACACACCTGCTTAGACTCTATCAAAACCTGGATGGCTGGGAGCTTTCTTCAGCTGAATGAAGATAAGACTGAGATCCTCATCTGTACCCCAGACAAGCTGGTTCGCAAAGTCAGAGACTCTCTTGGTCAGCTTGCTTCTCTCACCAAACCTTCCGTCAGGAATCTTGGTGTGACCTTTGACCCAGCTCTCGACCTGGATTCTCATGTCAATTCTCTTGTTCGCTCTTCCTTCTTCCATCTCAGGAACATTGCTAAGCTGAGTCCCATTCTGTCTCGCTCTGAACTTGAGACAGTTCTCCACACCTTCATCTCCTCGCGCTTAGACTACTGTAACTCTTTTTTCACGTGTCTGAGCAGAACCTCCCTGAACCGTCGACAGGTGGTTCAGAATGCCTGTGCTCGGCTTCTGACCAAGTCCTCCAAACACACCCACATCACCCCGCTTCTCCTCCAGCTTCACTGGCTGCCAGTCAACTTCAGGGTTCATTTCAAGATCCTGGTTCTGGTCTATAGGGCCTTACATGGACAAGCACCATCTTACATTGGTGATCTTCTTAGTCCCTACACCCCCAGCAGGTCCCTGAGGTCCAGTGATCAAAGCCTACTGGTTGTGCAGCACCAGGCTAAAGACCACCAAAGGTGACAGATCATCTGCAGCTGTGGCCCCCAGACTCTGGAACTCTCTCCCCCTGAGCCTGAGATCAGTGGACTCCTTTAAAAAGCAGCTGAAGACTCACTTGCTCAGGCTGGCTTTTGTATGACCTTCTTCACCACTCTCTATTCTGCTCTCCCCAACTATTCCACCTTCCTCAGGATCCACTGATTTCCCTTTTATCTATTCACTCTCTCTCTTTCTTTACATTTTTTAATCACAATTGCCTATTTTTTGCTCATTTTAAACATATTTTTAACCATTTTCTAATTATTTTTTATATTTTTACATTTTTTGTTTTTGTGAAGTGCCTCGTGATTTTTATCTTGAGAGGCGCTATAGAAAAGATGTTTTCTTCTTCTTCTTCTTCAAATTGATCAGTCAGACGGACAAAACACCACACATAAAGCCGTCACAAAAGCAAGGTGCAGCTACGGTAGCCTGGATGTCCAAACAGGTAATAAGTTTAAACAGGTGGTTTATGGTTTGTCTTATGCAGCAGCTGTGTTTTGCCCTCATTCTGCCATCTTACTAACACTTGGGTGGAAGTTTGTCTCAGTCAGATGGAAGGCAAATTTAAATAATTATCCTATAGTTTTTATTTTTCTATGTTTTATCTTATAGTTCAATCCCTTAACTCCTGTTAGATTACAGAATTAAAGACATAAATAAAATGTGCTACATTCAAACAAACCTTTAGGATTGGTTCTCCAAGATCTTCTGGATCAAAAATGATGGATCTTGAGCAAACCTTCAAGGACCCTCTGGTTCTTCTGAGAAATAAAAGACATGTTAGAACTCTAAACTAGGATGATTCGTGAAGATTAAGGACTAGAGAAAAATCCAGATTGGAACTTTGTATTGAGAGACATCAGATTTACCTATACATTTAGACTAACGTAAGGTGGAATACGACAAACCTCTGCTTTGCATCGCTGGTCACATGGTATGCAGTGTGCTGCTCAAAGTAATACTCCTCCAAATCCAGCAACAAGAGAGAAAACCTGAGGAAATAAAATAAGGAAGAAGCTGCATTAGAGAGAGAACAGCTGGGAAATGGCTGCTGCCTGTCCATCTGACCAGCTGCACATCTCAGTAGCAGCGAGACAGAAAGATGGAGACGAGTGCTGTCAATGTCTGAGTTTGTCATGTCCCTCTCATGCTCCCATGAGCCTTTAAAAACAGATAGACTACAAACAGCTTCATGCAGTAAAACGCACAATGTTTAATATTTATGCACTCATCTGGACAAATGAGATGCACTTTAACAAAACTAAACAAAAGCACAACTAAAACACAATTTAATCCTTTAATTTCAACACTGAGAAAGAAGGAATAAAATGTTAAATTGTTGCATTTTTATACATTTGAGTCAACAAGAGGTTCACTTTAATATCAACGTGAGGGGTTTAAAGAAGCCTTGGTTTCACATCAGGGAGATTTGTGAGTTTAGTGAGTGAATACAGCTTGATTCGTTTAATTCTTTGACTTTTAACTGGACAAGAGCCCTAAGTATGTTTTTGATTTGCATTTTTTGTAAAGTTTTACAGATATTAATTCAGATTAACCTGAAAGTTATGAATGTGGGTGTAAACAATTTCTTCATGTGTATTTGTGTGTGCTAATTAACTCAAAGTGATGGTGGTTGATTTAAGTTTTAATTGATTGATTGGCAATGGTGCATTCAAAGACCCAAAATAAAATCAGAATTTGAGATGGGCCAATTCCAATCACCAGCTGATTTTTGGGTGCTGCTCTAGTCCAGACCTAGTGTTTTTTTTAAGTATTGAACTCTGTTTCCACCTAAATTAATAGGATTGTTCCACTTCACACAGATGTAACGGATTCATTAGACTGTGCTGAAACTGCCCATCTTCTTCAAAATCTCAGCGGATATTTTACAGAAAGCCATAATGAGATCATTACTGAATATAAAACAATGTAAGTGAGTCATTTGGGATTTGGTCTGGTGTCCGATCAGATGATTATTCTGGTGAGAATTTGTCTGAAGAAAACAGAATTCTGCTTTTGGAGGCAGTTTGGAGGATTAAACAGATGTCATGAGTCAACCCGACCTCTCCCACTCAGACTGAGGAACAAAGACAGCTCTGCTGGCATGACTTCAATAACAAGACACCTGACAACTGCCAGTGAGCCTCTCATGACAGAGCACAGCCCTGATATTCATCCGCAGGGGAGGAAAACAGTCCGCAGACACCAAACAATGACCTCCAGGAGAAAGCAGCAACATAAAAACAGAACCCAGAGTAACAAACCTTTCTTTTGTTCGCTCTTGTGTCCTAATAAATGCCATGACCGCGCTGCATCCTCCTGTGTAACTCAACACCGAGGCGCTCGTCGTCCGAGCTCTGTAAACACGGAAACTTGACTGACGTCACGTGACCAGCTCTCACCACAGCAATAAAAGTGAAGATGCTTCACTCTCCCTAGTTTAGAGGCGATGCCGCTGATTTTATACAACTGCTCACTTAAATCAACCAAATCAAGATCTTAAAAGTACAAACATGATGTGTTAAGTTACATTATTAATGCATAATTTATAAATATTCTAAAATATCCCATTAGGATACCATAAAACAAACGAGCGCGACTCTGTGCTGGTGAGGGATCGTCTTAGTCATAGACGATCTTTGCTTCGAGGCTTCTTGACGTGTCTGCGGGTGCGGGAGCAGTGAGGGAAGTTGAAGCGATCCTCTCTGAAATCAGACCAATGCTGAGTGTTATTTGTTAGGAACCATGTCCCCGCTGCCGTGCGTCTGCAGCTCAACATGCACTGGAGAAGCCACGTCGCTGGCATCACGTTCAGCTGCGTTTTTGTTGTGACTCATTTCACCAACAAGGTGAGTGTGACACTATACCTGGAGAAGAAACAAACTCGATCTACTTTACATACTCAAACTATCACTTAATCAGACTTGGGTGGCTTTATCCGATCGTTTTTGGGCGCTTTTTGGATTTAAAATATCACAAATGAGGACCTGAGACATGGTTGTTTTCTTCTGCAGTTTGTACTGTCTGTGCTAAAGTTCACCTATCCAACTTTATTCCAAGGGTAAGTCCCTGAAAACAAACTTTTAAATACAAAAGCAACTTGATCATTACTTCTTTTTACCTCTTTTTCAGATGGCAGACGTTAATGGGAGCTGTGCTGCTCCTGCTGGCTGGGAAACTGGGCTGGGTGGAAATGAGACACATCAGCAGGTTCTTTTATCTACCTGCTGTGGAGTTTATTTTACCCTGACTTATTCTCTAATTACATATGTTGATGCTTGACAGATCTGCTGCTCTCTCCTGGCTCCCGGGCTCATTCCTGTTTGTAGGAAACATCTATGCAGGGTCAAGAGCGCTCTCTCACATCGTGAGTTAACAGATTCAGAGTCAAACACTCATCAGAAATAAAAAATATCAACACGATTACGACTTCCTGGACATGTTGGGTCCTAGATGCTGTTTCTTTCTCTGTGCAGGACATTCCTTTTTACTTCACCATGCAGAATTCCTCTTTTGTTGTGAGTTACATGATGATCAGGATTCTTCACAGAGATGTGAGTCTGCTGATGCTCAGATCTGTGCATTACCTTTGATTTTCCTTCAGCGGTATAATCATATTGTAATTAACGTGTATCTAACATGTTATCTGGCTCTTTGATCTCAGAGGACATCATGGCTCAAATCCATCAGGTATGCATTTCTATTTAGCTGCGATGAATCTTAAAAACATTTACCTGAAATGATCTTAATTTTGTTTTCTATTGTAAAACCTCGGAAATAAAACATTCACATTCTGAACTCATAACACTTTAATGTCCCTTTTCCTGCAGCGTCCTGCTGATGCTGCTGTCGGCCATCAACCTTCCCCTGTTTGACCCTCAGGTAACGATTCCCCGTCCTTCGAAGGTGGATTATGTGTCGGATCGTCTTATTTTATATGTTTTATTTACAGTTTGACTACAGTGCCTACCTGTGGGCCTTTTGCCATCTTTTCTGTGTCGGTAAGTCTAAGGTGCTGCTGTTAGAGGCTGGTTTCAAGGGCCTGCTGATGAATGATCTGCTATGTGCTCAGGTGCATACAGGGTGTTTCACGTTCAGCACAAGGCCAGTAATCTGAGGTTAGTCATTCTAAGTCTCACTTTTGTGTTACTACAGATCAAACAAACTATTAAAATGAAAACTGTTTTTTTTGTTTTTTTACAAAAATCATGAAAAACCTCTTTGTTCCATTGACCTGAATCACAAAGTAAATCTTCAGATGGCTACGAGGTTATTGCTTGTTTTATTTTAGGATTACTCAGCTCTATGCGGTGGGATTGTACAGTACGACACCCCCACACGCTGAAATATTTATGTGTGATTTACTTTCAGTGATATTGAACAGCAGTGCATTAACTACCTGCTCAGGTAAGAATCCACAAGGTCTCTTAAATGAGAAACGTTGGCCATAAATAGATTTAATGAAGTTTCAGGTGCAGAATCGTTTGTGAGGAAAGATTTTTCTTCTACTTCTGCTTTTTATCTTGTATAAACATCATTTTAGAGTAAATCGTAATAAACCTGAATACTTTAATGATTATAAAGTATTGTTTGTTTATGAATTGAGTTTAAATTCTAACTGAATGACCGCAGTTGTTGGTTTTTAATGACAGTGTGCTGCTGCTGGGTCTCGCTGCTCACCCCACAGGTACGACTCACCTGAGCTCATGTTTCAGCTTTAAAAGATGCGATTCAGCTCAATATTTCTGCTCTACAGGTGACCTCACAGGTGCCTGGGAGTTTACTTCTTTTAACTCCTTCACTTTCCAAAGCGGCTGCTGCATCAGGTGAGACGTCATCAGCTTTCTCTACCGATTATAAAGAACCCGCTGCTGTTATTTGGTTTTGATAGACAAGGAAACTCTTTTGTAAATATATTCAGGTTTTAAAAGTAGAGCTTCTTTCTCCACAGTGCTGTTTTGGGTTTTTTGCTGCTGTTGGTCACAGTCAGACTAAAACATGGACTGTCCCTGGAACACGTCAGAGTCTGGGGCTTTCTGTCGAAGGTATAAATAAATAAAAACACCTGTCAGGACTTTTGCTCTGAGGGAACATGAGTGATGGTTACTTCTGCTTTCTCTCAGGTTTCCGCCATGGCGCTCTCACCTTTTATGTTCAACACGAATATCAACACCAAAACTCTTTTATGGTGAGTGCTTGACCTGATTATGAGATCTATTGAGTGAAAATTAAATTTTTATTTTGATTCTCGGACATCAGGCTGCTGCTTACTAATCTTTAACGTTTGCTCCGTTTTCCCCAGCGTGATCATCAGTCACCTCGGAGAGGCCCTGCTGATTTATTCTGACAGAGATCCTCAACTTTGATAACAAATCTCAACATGTTCTAAACTTTTATGTAAACAAGATATTTTTCTACCTTTTTTTCTCTAATTTCCTATCTTTTGATAAATCTGATGATTAAATAAAACCGTGTGAACACTGATTTATTTTTATATACAGGGTATCTGCCGGTTTAAGGGAGCCAAATTTAAGACTTTTTAAGGCCACTTTGACCAAATTTAAGCAATTTTTTAAAATTACATTTAAGCTATAATTTCCAGCTATTGCCTGGAACCGGTGCCAACCACGTCACGAACGTGGGATTAGCCATCCAGCTACCATTAAACTTGCAATTCCCCATGGCGCAAGTTCCCGCTAGCTTAATCAGCTAATGTGCTCATCTAAAAAGAGCCCCCTTTCCCAGCCAACTGAATGTGTATGGTTCCGCTTACGCCAACATCGTGCACAAAAATGCTGAACACTAACTAGAAATTCACGAAATTTTTATAGAAATAAAATAATCTTGTTTATTGGGTCTTGGGTAATTTTAGACCTTCGGAAACTATTTAAGGATTATTTGTCATTTTTAAGGATTTTTAAGGCCTTAAATTTGGAAAAGCAAGTTTAAGACTTTTTAAGGACCCGCGGATACCCTGTATATAAAACCTAGGAGATGATGAAGACAGGTTCTTGGTCAGCATCAGGTTTTTATAAGTTATTTTTATTAGACAGTGTCAATGTTTGAACTCTGCAAGAGTTCAGGGTTTTATAGAGATTTAAGGGAATAATTAGAACTAATCGGTGAGGGATGTTTCAGGTCTGCTGCTGCCGTTGCTTTGGAGAGAATAAAACATTAAACGGTTGTCGTCTCCGTGAACGAGCCTGGGGGTTCGTCTCTTCCTTGATGTAACCTGTAACACAGAATATTATAAAGCTCTAGTAAAACCACCATTAGACGAAACAGGAAGCGTTCCATTACCTCGCTCCACACACGTCTGTGTCGATGGAAATCCCACTTCCCAGAAGTTTTCAGGAGTACACGGAGGAATGTGCAGATATCGGTGTCTGGAGCAGGCAGACAGCTTTTTCTGTTTCTCCTCCTCTGGCAGATGAGCGTAGTACTAAAAGGAAGCCACAACCGTGTCAACAGCACCCAGGAATAAACACGCACCGGCTTCAGGCTCTACACACTCACAACGTCACATTCTTTACAGGTGGTGCCCTTCAGTTTTCTTCTCTCGTCCTTCTTGCGGATTACTGCCACGTGTTTAAATGTTGGCCGTCTAAAGCAGAGAAAACCGTGAGACGGGTGACGATCGGATAAACGAGGTGCAGAGTGATGGTCCTTACCCAGATCTGGATCGAGGATCTTCGTCTAAATGAAAGGAAACCAATCAGGAGATGAAGGTCAAACTCAGAATATCAGTGAAATAATGTAGGTGTTCAAAATCAATCTCTACCATGCGGTTCCTCCTCTTCATCTTGCCCTTCATCCTCTTCATCAGGCCTGCTCCGGTCTAACTGGGACTTATACTCCCCATAAGCTGTTGTGTCAAACATCATATCCAAACTGTCGTTTGCCTTCTGGCCGAGTCCTGAGAAGCGAACAGACCAGACCACCATCTTGTGTTAACGGATTATAATCCAACACCTGACTGTGGTTATTTAAAGACTTGACGGTTATTTTCACCAGACTTCGTGTCTCCTCTGCTCGGACCGTCTCCTCCTCGCCGCTGCAGCATGCTGTGGCTGACCCAAGTGCAGTCCGTGTCTGCCAGGTCTCTGTGATGCCGCTGTTCTTCTATTTCCTAAAACACAAAAGCTTTTAAGCCAATAAAACAACCCAAACATCTACACATAAAAAAAGCCAAACGACCCAGAGGCTGCACCTCGTCTCTCCTCTGCTCGCTGTCGTACACGGACAGAGCCAGTGCAGGATCGATGCTCCACGCCGGCTCCACTGTGAGCTGCTTGTCGACTGAGAACCCAGACAAGTCGAGTTTAAGGAGTGAAGAGTTTGAAATCCAACAGGATGAGATAAGGACCGTAAATGATAGGATTTCACCATCTTTTGGTTGTTTGTGTGAAGCATCCTGATCCTGCAGAGGCGTTTTTTTCTTCCCATCGGTTTCTGACTTAGATTTACTCGGCGGCTTCTTGAAATCAGAACTGAAACCAGGAGCTCTAGCTTTCTGACTGGTCCCAATGTGTTCTGCTGACTGGCCCTGGAAAATAAAACACTTATAAAAACCTGCTTTAAATCATGGCTTAACAGATGAGCTCCCTGTTTGGTCATGCCTTATTAACTGGTGGCTCACAAACAGAAGTCGCTGTTTGGTTGACGTCTCTGGGATGCTCATGTTTGCCCCCTCCCTGGATTCCTGCTTCGCAGAGTCTCTGTGAAACACTTTCGTCCTTTTTGCGTTTTGCGCTGCAGACCGAGCCTTCTTCTAAAAAGCGTTTGACAGGAGGGAGGACAGACGGGGACCTCTCCGTGGTGGAGTCTGGACTGTGGGTCAGTGTGGACACAGAGGAGCGCTCGTAGGGCCTTAAACAGGAGAAACAAACCAGCAGGGAGGAGTTTTTTAGCGCATAGTCAGATAAATGCAGGCCGGCTGCAGTTGGTCTTACTTTAAATGAGCATTGTGCTTCCAGGAACTTCTAGAGGCACGTTGATGATCTGGAGCCGTCTCCTTTACCTGGGAGCAAAATGTTTTAAACATAAAAATGTCATTATTGTACGATTATGTATCAGTGATTGGTTCCTAAACTATTTTACTTACAATGAGATTGTTAGCAAGTTCAAAGCCACAGGTATCTGGGATAGCTTCCAGCACACCTTCATTCACATCATCTGGAAAGAGACAGACACCAGACAGGTCAACTTCGGTCTGATAATAGAACTAAACCAGGAGAAGTGGACATAAATAGATTGTTTCTGATCTAAAGGAATATAAATAAAGTTATATTAAATGTTAAAAAAAAAAGATTATTCTTGTTTTGATGAACTTGTATTAGAAAAGACATCTTACTGGATGTCTGGGGTGCATCCAGTTCACAAGTGTTGGGCACCAGCACTTCTGTTTTCCTGGGATTCCTTCCATCTCTAGCAGCTTTTTTGTTTTGCTCTTAAAAATAAAAACCAAACCGTTCACAACAGCGGAAATACACAGAGGAAGGTGAGGTGAGGTTTAAAATAAGCAGCAGGTGATAAAAGGTGTTTTTAAATAACTGACCGTAGAAGAGCAAGTTGTCGCGCTGCCGCGGAGACATCTCTGCATATCGGAAGTGTTTCACTTTATCACCATGTTTCCGTTTCTTCAGCTTGTTTGGGACAGGAAGTGAGCTTGGCAGGACTGGTGAGTCTGGGATGAATCCTTCCTCCTGCTCCGGGCTTCCTACCTCTGAAGTAGGGCTGCTTGATTAGGAAAATAATCATCATCACAATTATTTTGGTGGAATCTGAAATCGTTACCGACTGAGTTGGGAAACACTAAAGTGCAGCAGCTTACTGGTCATTCAAACTGATGAAGGGATAAATTATGAGACAAAAAACATTTCCTCTGAACTGCTTTAATGCTCATCACCACAGCCTTACGTCTGCTCTAGAATAAAACCCACGGACACACCAGCTAATTAAACTTAATCTACCTGAACAATCAGCCACATAAAAAAACAGGCAGCACTAGTATAAACACATAGGAGGTGCTGCGGAAGCCTGGAGGCCCAAACAAGGAGTATGTGAATATAAAATGGAACAGCCGAGCCTGGAATAGAACCGTGTAGAAAAACATAACCTCTCACCAGAGAGGCATACGCGAGGCTTATGAAGACTCATGTGCTGCAGGTGTGTTTTGCCCTCATTCTGCCATCTTATGTTGCTCTAACCTTTTAAGACCTTTGAGTAAAATGTGACAAAACAATTTTAATAGTGTTATGTTTTTATTACATTATTTTTGTAATTGGAGTTAACTAAAATACAAACTGAATTATTTATATACTTGTTTGCTCTCCACACCCTCTACAGAGCTAAACCAGGAACTGAAACGTCACTGCTGATGCAGAACAAGTCTCTGAGGCAAAGCTCCTCAGTGGAACACGGCACTTATTATAGTCAGCTTTCAAATTTAGAAGAGTTCATTTTTGTAAACCAGAAGTGAAACCTCTCCAGGAGAAACGGTGTCTATCTGAAAAGTTTTACGCAACACTGGCTGCAAAAAAAAAAAAAAGAAACTAAAATGTTAACATTTGTAATAATTTTGAAACAACAACAACCCAAAAATCTAATCAGACTTTTAAGAAGAACTTACTGAGCTGATTTTAACTGTTGCAGTTCATTCAACAGCTTTCTGTTTTCTTCCTCCAGTCTGTTTCTCTCATTTTCTGAAGGAAGACAAACCGTAAACACAATTCTCACAAAGCATGATTGTGCCCAGAAACATCTTAGCTTGTGCTGCCCTGGTCTGTGTGAAACACTCACATAAAAACAACTCTTTACTCTTTAACACCAAATAATCTAGAGCTCAGATTAATCACCGGAACAAACTCACTTAGTTTTGTGACAATATGAAGGTTCTGCTCCTGGTTGGATTTCAGCTTCTCCTCAAAAACAGCACACTGATCACGCTCTGCTGCTCGGAGTCTGGGGACAGTAAACGCCAAAACACTAATGATACACACACAGTTACTTATAATAAAGTACACAAAGATGCATGATTATAACTGGACGCTATAACAGAAGATTACAAATCAGCAGGTTCTGGGATTTTCTAGGGAATGTTCAAATATGTTTATGTTTATTTATGTAGCAGACGCTTTTATCCAAAGCGACTTACAATTTATAACCTACAGGGCATGTTGTGATCTGTGGGGGAAACCGGAGTACGCGGAGGAAACCCACGCATGCATGGGGAGAACACGCAACTCCATGCAGAAAGGCCGCAGCCGAGTTTCGAACCTGCGACCTTCGTGCTGCGAGGCAACAGTGCTAACCACTGCGCCGCCATGCAGCCCATAGTCCAATAGCTGATGGGAAGAAACTGATCTTGTGCCATGAGGTAATGGTTCTGGTGGACTGTTGTCTGTGATTACAGGGCAGCACATGAAAAGGTTATTTTCAGGGTATGAGGAGTCAAGGTGAATCTCAAGTGTGCCTCAAGTCCCTGGAGACCCACAGATCCTGGAGAGAGGCCAGATTGTAGCTGGTAATCTCTACAATACCTCTGCCACACATTTCTGGAAAATTCTTATTTTTCTAGTTTGCTTGGTTTGTAAATGATTCACTTGAGACAAATCCATACCAGTCCCAAGTACAATTAATGCTGTCAACATGATGATGATGACCCAAGTGTGTGTTTGAGTCATTTACCTTTCCTCCAGAAGACCGATCGTGTCCTGCAGAGTTTTATTTTGCTCCTTAAGCTGTTGGTTGCGATTATAGAACACCTCCAGCTTCTGTGCATCTCTGTATAATTAAAACAACTTAATGAAACAAAACAATAAAGTGAGGGAAAGCGTGCCCTACTAGTGAACAAAAGCTGATACTCACAAGCAGCGGTCCTTTTTTAACTTGCTTACTTTTGCCTCCAGTTCTACAAACAGTCACAATCACAAATAGTGTTTGCATGTGCGAAAACCACTAAAACACGCATCAACACGATTAGATTAGTTCAGTTACCTTGAACTGTGCTTTGATGACACTCTCCAAGCTGTTTCCATAGAACTTCAAACAGATCAGCATGTCTGACTGTCCCACTGCTGTCTCCCGGACTGCTCATCCTCCATAGATGATAACAGGCTAGACCGGAAATATCTTCATTAGAGGTGGAATTTACAACATTCAACAGCTGATAAGCTACAACACACAACATATAACTAGTTATTCACACTAAAACACAAACAACGTCCTGTGGCATCACACAGCTGTTACGTTGTCGCTAAAACTAAACAATGTTACGTAAACATACGTAACGCACAAAGAACACAAATACGTACACTAAATGCTTCAAAGAAAGTCTTAAAAGCAGACAAACTGATACATTTGAAAACCTACATAGTAATGCTGTTGTCGAAGATTAAAATTTGCGCGCCGAAATGCATGATGGGAATCCTTCTTCTTTTGACGTCATTCTCGTGTATGTGCGACTCTGTCGCCCCCTGCTGTTCAAGCCGAGTAAATGTACCCATTAAACGTGGAGGTACCAAGCCCCCACAATATTAATGTCGATGGGAGGTACTTATGCAATTTGCTGTAACATAAAACAGGTGGTTTTTTTATTCTTATTTCTGCTTTTATTTTTTAGAGTACAAAACATAACCCAAAATCACAAAATAACATTTACAAAACAGATTATTTAATTGAGGTGACTGAGGCAACATAGAGAAGCATGTCTGAAACAGTGATATTGGTGGGTTAGCTTTGAGGTAAGACAGCGAGCGATGTCAAAGGTTAAGAGACTTTAATTGTATTGACTTAGTGCCTTCATTAAGTAGTGCTATTCACAATTGAGTTTAATCATTCCAGTTCCTAATATATCAACATTTAGCAGTGATTTAATGATGTAGTGTATCAGATACACAAATACAAACTGACTAGTGACATCACGGTCTAAGACGCTAAGCATGTAGCACTGTATGGCACCATTTTGATGGTTTCTATCTTAAGACATTTCCTAATACATAAACAACACTGTTGTTGCTCATTCATTCTCATTAAAGCAGGTGCAAACAAATTTAAATATCGTTTTCTGCTTGTTACCATAACACTTCTGGCCAAAAATAAAACAACGGTTCCAACATTTATCTCAACCAAACTGAAGCTGCTTCGGACTATCAGGAGAAACAACTAAAAAACAAAAACACTCTTAATAATGCGACCAGAAATTAAACAGACTGATTTAAACTAAAACGCAGAATGGTTGTTGGTCGGAGACGCTAGCATAAAGCTCCGTCTTTTTCCTGAAATATAAAAAAGGTAAGACACAATGCAAACACTGCATCACTTAAAAAACAATAACAGTTATCTAAATGCAAAGCAAGGGAAAAGTTGAGTTTGACCTGCTCTTCGACATGCAGGTTTATTTTTGCATGAACAAACTTTTCTTCTTTCACATTGATGTCATGGTCACTGATGATTCAGCATTATAGATTATTACTCTTTTGTTCCTTTGGACGTGCGCCTTTTGTTGACTTTGCATCTGTCACAGCAGGTAGATCAAGCTAGCGTTAGTGCGAGTGTGTGTGTTTACATAAACACACATGCAGTCATCATCATTTACATATTTCCCCAGAATAACATAACAAATGACATTTCAAAACTATAAAACTAAAACAAAACTCCCTTTACATTTCAGAGTTTAAGCTATAAAACCTGCATGACAGTCCACAGAAGGTGTGCCTGGAGGCTTTGCAGCTGGGATGTGAGATACGCAGCAGGCTGTAGAGGTGCTGATGCTGGCAGGGAGGAGGAGGAGGAAGAGGAGGGGTGAAGATGGCGCCGAATGCAGCCGTACGTCGTTAAAGGAGGTTATGGGGATGGGCTGATTCTTCACCCTCTCCCTGTCCAAATGGGCCACATTCTATGTAGTTGAGTTTTAGATTCACATTATGCTGGAAGAAGACTAAACTGGTAGCATACGCTGCCTGGGCAGGTCGTCACCAAGAACACTGGAGCAGAGTGTAAATGCATATCTACCTTCAGACCTGCAGGGACAAAAGGGGATCAATGGAAGGATTCCATCTAAATGTTAAAAATCTAAATGATCCACACTCACACTTAGTGTCTTCACCACTGTGGGGGCACGTAGCTGTAGCTGGGGGTGCCGGGGGCCCGATATGTGGGCATCGTGACTTGATGCGGGGCCACAGGTGCCGGTGAGGGACTTGTCAACAAAGTTCCTGTGAGGCAGATTTGATAGTTTCGAGTTAAATTCTAACTTATTAGTTCTGAATATGCAGAAGTAAAAAGTCGCTGCAGCTCACCAGCGGACATAGCCATGGTTGTGCCGGCGACCATCCCCATGGCGACGCCGTTGGCGCGGCCAGGAGCGATGGACGGGGCGTACATGGCTGCAGGCATTCCATTGGGCTGGACCACCGTCGTGTGGTGGATGACATGAGGTGGTGCAGCGTACAGCGGCTGCGTGTAATAGGTGCCTTGTTGTTGGGAAGGTATTAACGCCTGAATCAGACAAACATGGTGACTCGTTTAGCTAAAATCGCTAACGACACATGTTGAAAAATAAAGGCATCATAGGTGATAGATGATTTTTTTTTGTTACATTGAGATCAGTGGTTCAGGAGATGTTTTGTAAACACACACAAACAGACAGAGGCAAAAATATTCTAGTCTACTTTTCACATGAATACCAAAGTCCGCACGAACTCACTGACCTGTGCATAAGGGCTCTGTTGGGGGTAGGTGCTCCTGACAGGGTAGACAGCAGCAGGATAGGGGCTTGGTGAGGAAGAGTATGGTGGCACAGTCCCAGTGTTGGGAGAGCAGGACATTTTAAAAGGAGTTCCAGGAGCGTAGCCTGAAATGAGCCAGCACCTCTTGTAATAATTTATAGCAGCAAGACAAGTTAAGTTTCTCAACGGAGCAATGGTGATGTAACCCAGCAGAAAAGTGCAACGCTGAGCACAAACTCCCCCCAAAAGAAGTGCTACATCTAGTTTTGTATTATTTTACAATGAATGAACAATTGTACTGATCTTTACAGGCTGAAGCTGTTTAAAAATGGCAACCTGTAGTAGTAAATGTGCTACAACTAGCCATTAGCTCATCAGTCCTATAGGATGTAAGCTAGCTATGCTAGGAGTGGCCAGTTCCAGTCCATGAAAATGTGTGTCTGCAAGCTCCAACGCACCTGGACAGTAATTAACAGAACTCTGTAGAAATCAACACTATAAGAAGGCGATTAAATAATTTAATTCTTGTGTGCTAAATCAGGAAACAAAACTTTAGCAGGATGGAAGCTCTTTGGGTTTGGGGTTGATGAGTAAACACTTTAAAATACAAAAATAATGATTTACAACTTTTACACAAAAACACAAATAGTGACCACAATAACTCTGAGACAAACTGCCATGGTGACTTATCAATATACGTAAACTAATCCAAGATTATAGCAGCCAATACATTCACTCCTGTGTATTCATCATTATAACATTAAATTGTGGTAATACATGACTTACGAATATATTTAAATTTGTATTTAATTTGTTCAGTTTAGGACCTGAATGAGTTCAGAGAGAATTTTTGAGCAGAAAATCTAAATTTATGCAATTTCTATACATTTTAAATGTATTTTCTTTTTACAAAATTCAAGAACTCAAATCAACTTATGGATGTAGTCTAAAATATGTTTTTTGTGTTTTGTTTTTACAAAAAAGTGATATAAATTTAAGTATTTAAGTTACACATTTGTTATGTATTTATTATAAATTCTGGTGGGTTTCATTCTTACCGCTGGGAAAGGCAGGGTTAGCTCCTGCATAGACACCTGGACTGTATGATGGGGCAGCAGCTGCATAGCCAACAGGGAATCCAGCTGTTGGGATCAAATAGAGAAGAATTAATCCTTTGAACTCCATGTGTGGCTTTGTCCTCTTGTTTGACCAGATAAAACTACCTGGATAGCCTAAACCCTTCGTGTTGGTAAAGGGGACCCCTGTTGGTGCAGGGCTGTATACAGGATTCATCGTGGCCGTCTGCTCACAGCTGCTGCAATCAAGAAAACAGAGGTTCATTTAAACGTGGTGCAAAATGAACTGAAAATATTTTAGATTTAATCGAAATTCCACAAATCTGCTCCTAAACAACGTTTGCTAGAATGTTTAATATGTTTTATTGCCTTTTTCCTTCCCCAAAGATTGGGGTACAGATCTAGGGATACACTGACTATGACAGGACTTTACTGTTAGGACTTATTAATGTTGAATTGATACAAAAGACAAGTAATCCCTTATGTTGCAAAAGCTACATTGCAACAGAAATATAACTTCTATCATTAGATATGTTCAGGTGGCAACAACTCCAGATGTTTTGAGGCTGAAACAAGTGTTTGCATCCAGCTCAGAGACGTCTCTGTGCTGCCCCTGGCGGTGATGATAAAACACTGCTTTCATTACATCACATTTCAAATAGAAGGATGGAAAACCATGAAAAGGGACACATTTACATTTGATGCTAAAACAGATACATTAATGAGGTTACAAAATGCATAAAAAAGAGGCAAACGACTGTGCACAGTAGTGATGACAGTTAATATTTGTTCTCTTTCTTTCTCATGGCGCATTTGAATAATTTAACCTTTAAAAAATAAAACACAATTTTATAAAACACCTAAACCGGCACACTTTCATCATGTGACGACATTTAAACTACTTCTTGCTCTGATTTTAGATAAACATAACTGAGAATAAAAGGTCATAACTCATTAAAACAATAATTTCCTATAAAGGAGAAAATGTGCAATTAACTGACGCTTATCTCTTGTCTCGTGAACCGGTTTATTGTATGTATATCAGCACCATTAGGGTAGCGTTATAACCGGTTAGTAGAGCAGTCGGATCAGAAGATAACCTTCCAGGTGACATACCGAAGCTTCACCACTAGCTAGCTATAGCTCTCGAGGATTCGGAGCCGCAGCAGAAGCTCGGCGGGTCGAGCCTGTCCGGTGTCCGAACATCGGCTCAGATATTCAGTCTAACCGGAACATCAACCAGTGTGGCCGCGCAGAGTCACCGAACCGTCGTCCCTGGACGGCCCACATATGATGGGACAGGCTTGTCAACAGGCCGCTCGGTTCAGGCAACAAGCCAGCCAGCTGTGCTCCGCAGTGACGCCTGTCCCAACCATAGACTGTACATACCCAACATAACATACATCTCACAAGTCTCACTAGTTTAAATACACAGAAAACGTATAGTTCACCGTTTCAATCGCGTGTTTCTTCTCTTCTCTGCGACAGAGACGTTAAATAAAATTAAGCTAGCTGGTGTTTTGTTCCCAGATGCTTTGCTGAACTCTTTTGAGCACCGAGCGTCACTTCCGTGTAGAGTCACGTGATCTCTATAGCGCAACATTTTTCTTTTGCCTTCGTTGAATGCTCGATTTTTGTCTTAAAAAATTTAAAATTGAGCTATTTTTCTCTCAACATTTACAAGATTGGATGCAATTTAAAATCAAATTAAGCTGAAAATAACAAGCCTCATATATGTATTACTTTAAATGTGCTTAAATGTTATAATATTTAGCAATGTTTGTTGTTATAAACTGACAAAATGTTTTCTAAAATATTTTCGCAATGATGTCACGTAGCAGAGCTCCACATCATTTACACACTAGTGAACGTAAGGGTGCACTAAGCTGGTGGGGCTTGCACACCTTTACTGCGACGCACGCCCACATCGGCGTACAAAGTACACCTATCACAACAAAAACACTGCGACTGTTGTATATAGACTGTAAATTAACAAGACGTGTCGTTTTGTGATATTTCATTCCTCTGTGACACATGTATGTTGTCAGCTGCCAATCACATAAAATACTCACATTTATTTGTCAGATTGTCAGAATTTTAAGGCTTTTCCAACATTTAATATAAACTCCTCCGATGGTCTTCGTTTCCAGTCGGGTCATACGCCGGTGGCTAGAAGGAGTAGACCCCGTGAGTTCATTATCATGGCTGCTCCGTGGTCCTGACAGGCTTATAAAACAAGTTACTTGAAAAATCCTTTTCTTTTAGTTGAAAATTCCTACATATTTTAGTGTATCATTATTATAAAATATTTGATATAATAAACACGACATACACGTGATGTTGGTCTGCTTTTAGATAAGGCTGTTACTAAAATATGTGTTCTTTAAGGACCTTGACGCATCGTTTCCATTCAGCCATTGAACTGGGAAGACTAGGGTCCACACTGTTTTGGAGTAAGTGCGACTTGTTAGCGCTTTAACGGCGAAAATGATTCGATTTGAAATATTTTAGACCTCGTCCTACGTTGTATAGGGTGAGATTATTTGGTCGGCTGGCATCGTCGGTAAGGAGCAGGGGTTTAATGTCAGCAGCAGCCGCCTTGGGAGGAGGCTCGCCCTGTTTGGGCGCAGCAGCGGCGGCCAGTTGCAGCTCAGCCGGCTCTTCCTATGCTGCCGCAGCCGGTGGAGGCGCGGGAGTGGCCGGGAGGTTACCGGCCCGAGTGCTGGAGCACATTTTCTGCTATCTGGAGCTCTCCGACCTGATGCGGTGTTCACTGGTCTGCTGGCACTGGAATAATATCTTAGCAGACGAGAACAGCGAGGTGTGGCGCAGCCTCTGCAACCGGAGTCTGAGTGATGAAGCACTACGGTCTGATGTCCTCTGCAACCTGCCCACCTACAAGGGGAAAGTAGGTTCACCAGTGATAAGGTCCTTAGGATGGAGAAGGATGTGATTAATGATAACTTACGGTCAGAAATGTACCTACATTTTGTGTGTGTGTGTGTGTGTGTGTGTGTGTGTGTGTGTGTGTGTGTGTGTATACATGTGTATTGGCTTGGCTTGCTTTGTTTCAGAACAAGCACAAACTGTTATTGTTTACTGTTGCATCCTCCCTTCCCACTGAATTAGTTTTTGTCACACTCAAATGTTTCCGTTCAGCCACCATATTTAAGTATCAGATAAAGACAACCAGAAATAATATTACATTGATCTTAAATGATTATTTCCCTTTTTAAAGGGCAAATCTATCCAGAACAACCTGGTTCTATGTAGAAGAAGAAAATAACTTTTCTATAGCGCCTCTTAATAAAAGTCACAAGGCGCTTCACAAAAACAAAAAATGTAAACATATAGAAAATAATTTAGAAAATTATTAAAAATATATTTAAAATGAGCAAAAAAAGATAGACAGTTGTGATTACAAATGTAGAGAAAGAGAGAGAGTGAATAGGAAAGAGGGAAATCAGTGGATCCTGAGGAAGGTGCAATAGGTAGGGAGAGCAGAACAAGAAGAGGGTGAAGATCATACAAAAGCCAGCTTGAACAAGTGAGTGTTCAGCTGCTTTTTAAAGGAGACCACCGAGTCCACTGATCTCAGGCTCAGGGGGAGAGAGTTCCAGAGTCTGGGGGCCACAGCAGCAAATGATCTGTCACCTTTGATCTTTAGCCTGGTGCGCTGCACAACCAGTAGGCTTTGATCACTAGACCTCAGGGACCTGCTGGGGGTGTAGGGACAGAGAAGATCACCCATGTAAGATGGTGCCTGTCCATGTAAGGCCCTATAGACCAGAACCAGGATCTTGAAATGAACCCTGAAGTTGACTGGCAACCAATGAAGCTGGAGGAGAAGCGGGGTGATGTGGGTGTGTTTGGAGGACTTGGTCAGAAGCCGAGCACAGGCATTCTGAACCACCTGTAGACGGTTCAGGGAGGTTCTGCTCAGACACGTGAAAAGAGAGTTACAGTAGTCTAAGAGTGAGGAGATGAAGGTGTGGATAACTGTCTCAAGTTCAGAGCGAGACAGAATGGGACTCAGCTTAGCAATGTTCCTGAGATGGAAGAAGGAAGAGCGAACAAGAGAACTGACATGAGAATCCAGGGTGAGAGCAGGGTCAAAGGTCACACCAAGATTCCTGAAGGAGGGTTTGGTGTGAGAAGCAAGCTGACCAAGAGAGTCTCTGACTTTGGGAACCAGCTTGTCTAGGGCACAGATGAGGATCTCAGTCTTATCTTTATTCAGCTGAAGAAAGCTCCCAGCCATCCAGGTTTTGATAGAGTCTAAGCAGGTGTGGAACAGCTCCAGCTTAGACATCTCATGAGGCTTGAAGGAGATGTACAGTTGGATGTCATCTGCGTAAAGATGGTAGGAGATTCCTTTGAAGGAGGTGCTGAAGAGGAAGCAGATAGAGGAGGAAGAGCAGAGGCCCCAGCACAGAACCTTGTGGAACACCATGGGTAAGAGAGGTGGTGGGGGACCTAAACTTGGAGACGGCCACAGAAAAGGAGCGCTCAGAAAGATAAGAGGAGAAGCTGTAGAAAAGTAATTAACCTTTAAACATTTTAGCAGGTTGTAACAACCTACAAAATCTACAATCATCTATTATGATAACTGGTAATGAGCATCATTGTAGAGGAAATCTGTTCTACTCTTCTTTGCTGAATTGTTTTAAACCTAACATGAATGACATGTTTAAGGTCAAAGGTCAGATGTTTTCCTTCAGAATGTTGTGGTAGAGAGCAAAACTCTTGGATCCATCACTTACAGCAAGTGGTCTAGGTCCTAAAGCAGCAAGGCAGCCCCAGACCATAACACTTCCACCACAATGTTTGATTAGGTGTTATTGTTGGTTTTACGTTAGATGTAATGGGACACACACCTTCCAGAATACTCAGCTTTTGTCTCAACAGTCCCCAGAAGTCTTAGAGATCATTAATATGTTATTTTAGGAAATGTGAGATATTTTTTCTCCATCTCTTGTTTATTATTGAATCCTGACCTCTGACCTTAAACCTAACCAGGTGAGCCCTACTGTGCTTTTGACCTAGCTCTGGGTTTTCTTCTTTTAACCCTCCCACTGTCCTATTGGGTGACACCCCTCACCCCTGCCACATGCACCCCAAGGGATAAACCATCAACCCTGCTCAATGGTCAACTTCCCTGGCGGGGTCACCCAGTAGGACAGTGGGAGGGTAAAATATCTGTAGAAAAAGGAATGATTTGGTGCTTTTTGAGATCATTTAGCCTAAATCATGTTGCCAGACACTTTCTATTGAGGTGATGTCTTTATTCTACAGGTCTAGTGGAACTGAACTCAGCTTCCCAAACAATCTAGTTAATCCCAGTTAATTCACAATTTAATAAAGGGATTTGATTACCTTCTTACGCAAGGCCAGGTTGATTTGGATATTAGTTCTCCTAATAAATGAAATCATCATTTGAAAACCACTTTTTCTGTTTACTCATTTAATCTTTGTTTGATATTGAAATCTTTCTGTTAATCTGAAACGTTTAAAGTGACAAGAAATCAAAATCAAGAACTTTAAGGAGAAATATTTGTTCGCATCATCGAAGACAATAAAACAAACAAAAATTGTAAAGTTAATAAACAATTTTAAACACTGCTGATGGTATAAGACCATGGAAAGTCCAGTTATGTGTCTCACTTGCCCTTCTATAACAGCTGTGTCTGACTGTCCTCCTGCAGCTCAAATCTTACCAACATGCCCTGAGTTCTCACGACTGCTCCAGAAATGTTTATGTGAAGAAGAATGGCTTCACTCTGCATCGTAACCCCATCGCTCAGAGTACAGATGGTGCACGAGGCAAAATTGGCTTCACAGAGGGGCGGCATGCTTGGGAGATCTGGTGGGAGGGCCCACTCGGCACCGTGGCAGTGATAGGGATCGCCACAAAGCGGGCAGCGATGCAGTGCCAGGGCTACGTAGCCCTGCTGGGCAGCGATGACCAGAGCTGGGGCTGGAACCTGGTCGATAACAACCTGCTTCATAATGGAGAGGTCAACGGAAACTTCCCCCAGTGCAACAATGCTCCCAAATATCAGGTGTGATGTTTGACTTTTACAGTTCTAGTTCTTTTTAAAATATATCTGTAATCTGATGTGGTATAATCTTCGTCCACAGATCGGGGAAAGAATACGGGTGATTCTAGACATGGATGACAAGACTCTAGCTTTTGAGAGAGGCTTTGAGTTTCTTGGAGTAGCATTTCGTGGACTGCCTAAGGTCTGCCTGTTCCCTGCTGTCTCTGCGGTGTACGGCAACACGGAAGTCACCATGGTTTATCTGGGAAAGCCTCTGGATGGTTAGGGGCAGACTGGCCTGTGCCCTCAAACACATAAGCTCCTGAGAAGCCTCCTTTTGCAGCAGGACCGCTGACTCCTCTGCCTACTTGAACAGTTTATGGTTGAGGAGGTCAGAAGGTTCTTCAAACTTCATTATGACATGGAAAGAAGTGTTTCTCCAGCAGCTGAACATAAGCTCACAGCAGTGGAAACAAGCAGGAAAAGCTTTGGATGTCATGAACTTGTTATCGCCTTGGAAACGTCCACTTTTACAGTTTGCTGCTCGACCCATTTGTGGACACTTCAGTTTGTTTTATAAAATTAAAACCGTGCTAAATGATGACCTGAGACTTTATGTCTGCTTGAATGAGGCCAAAACTTCTAAACTGTGGCAAAATCCAACTTTGAGTGTTATCAAAAGTTGTTTGGTGTAAGAATGAGTGGAAACACTCTGGTTTAGCCAATTTTAACTATAATATCTGAATTATACTGAATTAATGCCAAATGGTTGTACCCTGTTACATTTTGATAGTAGAACCAGGAGGACATGAGGACTTTTGCATGAACTGTGGACTGAAGTATTCCTCCTTTTAAATAACCCATCAAGTAATGGTGTCAACTAAACCTGTTAAACGTGTCCTTCCTATTGTGCTACTGTAGTAAACCTTATTTATTTGTGATTTAATCTCTGGTACTATTGATACAGTATGGTTATGAAGCCTGGAAATAAAGTCATTTTGGTGCCACTGGTAGAAGAAGGATGTTGTGTTGAATGTGTGCTTCACTCATAAAGCCTTTACACCAGTCTGTTAGTGTGTCTGAACAGCTTTGTAACATTTAATTTGTGCATCAGCTGGTCACTAACGGCACCAGCAGAAGTGGAATCTAGTCAGCCGCTTTGGTTTGGTTTTTCTTACCCTCAAATCTAACGGAGGCTGATTAGAAACTCTTCTATTTCATATAAATATCATCTATTAAATTAATCACACTAAATTATTTGCTCAGATGAGGGAAAACTTACTTGTATCTAACTTTCTGTGAGATTTAAGTTTGAAACTATTGTTCTTGCTGGTTTATTTTATGCTAACATTCAGGGCTGCTCAGTTATGGAAAAACAATCAATACTATATTGGTACGACACAAAAACTGAATTCCTTTGTAATACTTCTTAGCATTAGATACATTTTTGGAAATCCTGATTAGTCGCATTTACTGTGTTCTGTAACTTGTAGTGTGTATTTATGTAATTAGCATTACTAAACATGGACGCCCCCACCTGTTGGTGTTCGCTTTTGTTTGAGTTTTTTGTTGGTGGATTGGTTGATGCGCTTTACCACAGTTATGAAGAAAAAAAACAAGCATTTACATTTTGCTCCCAACAGGAGCCGTAGTTTTGTCCCAAAGATTTCACTGGACATCTCTTCTGCAACAGGTGGAGAACAATCTTGAGAGAGGTTGCAAGGATCAGAGTTAAAGAAGGTGGAGGATGTCAAGTACGTAGTTTCAAGAGTCTAGACTAATGGGGAGTGTGGAAATGAGGGGAAGGAGTTCAAGCAGGTTGGAGTGTGAGATAAGTGTTTCTGCAAGAAAGAACAGAAACGTGTTTAAGACAGTGGGACCAGTGATGCTGTGGTCCAGTGACAGGAGGTTGTAGGCATGACAATGAGACCAGCGGCCAGGCAGAGAAGGTTTGGGCGTGTAGAGAAGAGAGATGCTGAGGATGGAACTGCCAGACTTGAGGAAGACCAAGGAGATTTATGGATGCAGTGAAAGTGTACATGAAGCTAAATGGTGAGAAAGAAGAGGTTAGATGGAGTCAGATGATTTGAATACAACAGAAGAACAGTGGACTTTTTCTGTTAACTATTTGTCTATTTGAGGATTGGAGGGGGCAAAAAGACACATTAAAATCCAAACATTTTATAAGTCTGCTGATCTTTCATTTAGCTAATGATTTATAATGTATCCTTAGATCATCTCCTGTCTTGTTGATCTTCAGTGTGGTTTTAGGAAAACGCGTCGCCCTCCTGTGTCGTTTTAATGGAACTACAACACCTGTTTTGCTGATAGAACTAGTTTTCATAAAACAGTTATGACTTTGCTTATGAGCTCGTAGAAACTTTTGTAAATATTGATATGAAAAAGACCTGCATAAAAATACCGGCCATTATATTTCAGGCTACTTGGTAGGATTTAAGATTTGAAGAATCCACTGATGATTGTGTGGTTGTGTTTTCACTCAGCAGTGATGATCCTGATCATAGTAGTGACTGAGTTTAAAGACCAGAGCGGAACAACTTTAATGAACAAGAGCCAAACCAAAGGGCTGAATGATGATGTTGAATCAGCACTGCATCATCTGTAAAATGTCAGATCTTACAGACATCTGAGTCAGTGCTGGCTGATCCTGTCTGAGATGTTTAGGTTGTTCCTGTCAGAGCAGAGATGTTAAAGTCCACCACAACATGGATGGAACAAGCAAATGTTTTATGTTGATGTATTTTATTACACACACGCACACACACACACACACACACACACACACACACACACACACACACACACACACACACACACACACACACGCACGCACGCACGCACACACACACACACACACAGGAAGGAAAGGAGAAATGAAACGGAAAGTGTTGGACAGGTAAACTGGATCACGTGAAGGGGTGGAGCCTCACAGTCCAGGTGAGACAGGCAAGAAGAGATAGAACATGTTCCGCGTTTACCTTTTCAGACTCCATTTAGTCTAAACAGAAGAGCAGAAATCAGACTGAGGATCTGAATCAGGTGAGTGTTAATTCAACATTCTTCATGTTTTCCTGTCAGTCTCTGAGTGGGTTTTCTCTCTGTGGACTGTGGAGGAAAGAAGAGGCAGAACTCTACAGTTTGTTTCAGGTGTTGATCCAAAACTGATCCAGCTGCTCTGAAACCACGTCACAGCTGTTGGATAAATCAGATCCAGGTCAGGTTTAAATGTCAGAGTTTAGTTCAGATGATTGGATGTGTGGCAGCTGGAGGTCTGACTGATGAAGAAAGGCAGCAGCGACTTAAGGTGGAAATCTGAACTGGAGACGATGCTGCTCTCAGCTGCAGACTGAAGCTGATCCAGATGTTTCATCACTGTCATCACAAACTCAATCTGAAGCTTCACAGGAAACAAATGACATCTAATTTCTCTGTAAGTTTGTCTTAAAACTCAAACAGAGAAACAGGAAGTTAAAATGATTGAGTCTGTTGGTCATGTGACTCCTGGACAGGCTGGTTAGCCCTGATCTGCTGTGAGCTCACAGTCAGTGTTACTGTTTCCCTCTCAGACTGACTGAAGTCCAGAAGATGGAGGAAGAGGAGGAGAGAGCAGAGTCTTCAGGAAGCAGTGATCTGTTAATGAAGGGGGACCGGTCCAGACCTCCAGACTTCAGTAATAAACCTGGACCTTCTTTCACAAAGTAAGAAACCTGAATCTACATGAAAATACTAGTTCTGCTGATAAAGCTTCACGTTGTTGACTTTAATTTGTTGTATCATTTTAAATGAAGTAAATGATCTAAATAACAGATCTGTTATACTTTTGTGGAGCCAGTTCACAACAGCAGTTACCTCAGGTCACCACAGTAAAACCAGTTCCATCCAGTTCCAAGTAGACCAGTTCAGTTCTAGAACAATCCGATCAGATTCTGTCATCTTTAATAAACCAGTCAGTAAACAGCTGTCTGTCTGAGGAAACCAGCAAACCTTCAGTTCACTTCTTCATCCTGAAGATGGACGCTGCAGCAGCCACAGGAGAGAGGACCCACCCCCTTTAACAAGAACAACCCTCCTGCAGAACCAGAACCAGAACCAGAATGGGTCCATCTGACTGTACTGGCTGGGGGTCTGAGAGGACAGGAAAGAGACGAACAGAAAAGAACATCAGACCTTCTAACTGTGTTCTGTTTTGTTTAGTCACCATTTTATTATCATTTATTGGTGAAACTGAACCAGAATATTAAAGAAAACCTCCTGCTGTTTATTTTCTTTAGAGATGAACTAAAATGTTCATGAGATTCATTTTCTATTGATTCTCTTTGCTGTTCTACAGAAACTTTGACATCTTCAGAGGCAATAACTACAGTCTAGAGGTCACATTAAAGTATTTATCATATTTATCTGTGTATTAAAACACAAACCATTGGTCCTGTCTGGATGTTTTGGATCATTTCTGATGTCCATCAACTAGAGAAGCTATCTGATCTAAGAGGACTTTTACTAACATGAAACCTTCTGATTCTCAGCAGCAGTTTGTGTTTTCAGAGCTTCTTACCTGGTTTCGTCAGAGAGTTTCTCAGTGATTGATGTGATCTGTATAACAACATGTTTGTGTTTCAGAGGTCAGAAGATCAGACAGAGGGCAGGGTCTCCAGGATCCAGCTGTCTGTCTATGAAGAGTGATCAGTCCCATCTTCTTCCTCCATTCTTCAGAAATGAACCTGAACCCTCAGACACAAAGTAAGACAACTTTTAATGGATTACAAACAAAATTTTCCTTTGATTTCATGTTGTTGATATCAGCTTTCTCTGCAGTAAAACCATTGTGGTTCTTTTGCCTTATCAAAACACAAGAGACAGACTCCTACACCATTTCTTTGTCCACATTCGTCTTCTCTTTTTCTTTTCATCGACACACATGATGGCAAGAAGAGCCAAAGACAAACGTCTTGTTTTCACGGGCATTATTGCGGTTAACAGCGAGCATGCAAGCGCTATTCTGCTCGGAACCGAACGCGTTGTTTTCATTTTCCCTCGTGTTTACTTCCGGGGTTTTCTTCTTCGTGTTTGTAATTCCACCGTGTTGCGTCATCTACTGGCTAATTTTTAGCTGCGGTAGTTCATGCCACTCGTACAGTGTGAGCAGTCAGGTAGCATGCGAGAACTGGGTCGTACAGTGTGAGCACACGACTCGTGAGATCTGCTCTGCGAGGAAGTCGTACAGTTTGAGCTGAAGCTGAACGCTGCGAGTGAAAAAGTCGCACAGTGTACGCCCGGCTTAACTCTGAAGTGCTTTTTTCCCCCTCCACCTGAACCAACCCTCATGTAACCCCTCTTATCTCTGTTAAGGTAGCGCGACTCAGGGTTGCGAATGACCACAGTCACCAATTCTTGTCATGTGTCTTGCCCATGTATGTCTGATCTCTGAATTGTGTGTACTGAAACTCTAATTTCCCTCTGGGATTAATAAAGTATCTTTGATGTGATTTGATTGATTAGTATGTGTTTAAATTAATATGTTTGATTAATTTGTGCTTAAATTACTGTGGTAATTAATATTATTATTACATTGAAAGAGTTATATATGATGATCAGTAATGTTTGATATGACAAGGTAATCATTATCAACACAGACACAAGGTTCATTAGAGATAAATTAAAGTTAAGTTAAACGTCATGACACAGATATTTTCTTACCCACAAATCAGAGCCTGTATCTGAAAGAAGGGGTGATATTCTGAGGTTTGTGTTAACACCCCTTAACATGGCACGTTCCGATTGACCATAATCATAATATGAGAATATTAAAACAGAATCACTGGGGAGTGATTCATTCATTCATTCGTTCGTTCATTCGTTCGTTCGTTCGTTCGTTCGTTCATTCATTCATTCATTCATTCATTCATTCATTCATTCATCATTCCAGCATTCTGTGAGATTCAGCATCCTGTTAGTTGAGCTAACTCTGACTGGCCATGGGAGGAAACTCTATAACCGTCGCATCTCTTGGCAAGCTTTCGACAAGCTAAAAGCTGCCTACAGCTGACACAGCAAAACGGTTCCTTCAGCTATTCAGAAGCAGCTGCTCTAGATGCAAATTAGTTCCAACCTGTGTGCCTGGTGACATCTCTGGACTGGAGCATCGGTGCTGCAGTTAATCTACTGAACCTCGGTGCCCAGAGGTCATTTGACCTCCCTGACCTCCGGATCCACGAAGAGGGTCTCCAAAGAAAGGGTGAGGTAGACACACAAGATTGCATCTGATGCCGTTTTGATGAGAACCATCTTCATAGTTTAACGCTAACCAAATTCTTTTTCACACCCAGAACTCAGTTCTTCTAGATACAAGGTTCTGATAAACACACACCATTCAATCACCATACATCACATCCCATCCACTAAGATTCATCCATCACAGTAGTCTTAGTTTCCTAGTTGTCCTGCTTTTAATTGTTTAGAAAATACATTTCTTATCTTTTATAAACTTGACTCTGTCTGAATTGAGATGAAGTGTGTGTTTGATCCCTGAAAAAGCAAAGAATATTACACTCTAATGATTAAACATCCACAGACCAAGCATGTAGATTCTATATTTCTCTAGAATATCGCAGCTTATTGGTCATAAGTAAAGGTAATATGTTAAGCGTAAAAGCAACAATATTTACCTCCCTACACTACAATAATAAATATTTAATTAAAATCAGGCATTGTTCCAGCTGACCTTAAAACTGCTCTCATTCGTCCTCATCTAAAAAAAATCATCGCTTGACGAAGATGATTTGGTTAACTACAGACGAATTTCAAACCTACCATTTCTTTCAAAAATTCTGGAAAAAGTGGTTGCATCTCAGCTTAATGAACATCTACAGAGACATCATGTGTACGAAACCTTCCAATCTGGTTTTCGCTCTGCACACAGTACGGAGACGGCACTGGTCAGAGTCATTAATGATTTACTTGTGGCTGCTGACCAGGGTGACCTTACTGCCGCTTTCGACTCTGTAGATCATGGTATTCTTTTCCATTGGCTTCAGACCAAAGTTGAACTGACTGGACCGTTTTCCAGTGGTTCCAGTTGTATCTCACTGGGAGAACTGAATATATGGCTTTGGGGGAGACACGATCATCACCCCATAACATTACTTGTGGGGTCCCCCAGGGATCAGTTCTTGGCCCAATTATCTTTATTACAGTATTATTTTTACAAAGTGGGAGCATATATATATATGCTCCCACTTTGTGATATTTTTAGAAATTTTGGGATATCCCTCTATTCTTACGCTGAACACAGCTATATCACAAAATTGATACAGTTTCCTCATCATCTTCACTTTCTGCTCTTGGTGCATGCGTGGATGCGACAAAGGCATGAATGTCTGAAAAATGTCTCCAGCTAAACAGCAGCAGAACAGAGGTACTACTCATTGGTACTCCTCATCAGGTCAAACCTTCTAACCTAAAAAATATTACCATATTAGGCAGTAACATACCATTTTCTACATCTATCACTAATCTCGGCATCAAACTGGACGAGTAGGACCTGGCTGCAGACATCAGCTGGTGTGTCGAGAGCAAGATGGCGCGTCATTACTTTTACCGGAAAATCGACGAGCGAAAGACCTCGGCAGGAAGTTTGTCTTTTTTTTGGCGGCCGCTACGTTGTTTTTGTTTCAACCATACTCGGTGGGTTTCAATTGAGGAAAGGTAAGGATAAGGATGATAGATAAAGAAAGAAAGATAAGGATGAAATTAACTAATTGTTGCAACCGTTCTTAGTTCTTAAATGTAGGCACTGTAGCGTTTAAAGCTTTACCAGAGAATTATTGCAAAGGCACCGTGTTTCATAGCTAATTGTATCAATATTAACACGCAGTCTTAAAACGAAGGGAGATCACAAGCTAGCTAACACAAAAGCTACATAAATAAAGCTATCAGCAATTGTAGCTTAGCTTTAACTTAGCTATTTGATTTTTCTGGTCTCCCTGTTTGTTAAAACAGTTAAAGTAATAATATTAACTTTATATATAATTTAGATATGATATAAAGACCACGATTTCTAATACTGACTTGACTGAAACGTTATTAATACCCTTTTTTAATTAAAAGGCGTAGATTTTCAGAGATTTGTAAGTGGTTTCAATCACTAGTTTTCATATGAGGCTAAAGTTAGCTTCCGATTCGGGAAATGGCTAAAGGGCTAATACACCCAATTTTTCTCTACTCTGACCATTTTTATTCTGCTCTAGCTCAAAACCTACAATACATACACTCTTCAAACCTGTTTTAGATTATTCTGGGCTCGTAGGAATGCATAAAACATAGTTTGTGATTTGTGAAACCTTCCTCTGATTTGTGAAACTTCAAAAAGACAGATTTATGAATTTATTTTTCAGCATCTGGCCCACACTGGAACTGGTCCTGTGCACCCAGAAATAAAATGTATTTTCTGGACAAGCTTAGCTTTCAATATCTCTAAATATTTTTCAGTTATTGTGTGTGGTGTGCTTGGTCATTCTACTGTGGTTGCACAAATCAGGTGTCCTGCAACAGGTACAATAACTTTGAAATAGTAGCCGCTTCTCTAATTAATGCCGCCCTCCTTCTGATTCTGTTTCAGAATAATCCTATCCTTATAAAAAATAGATATTTTTGTCGACTGACTGCTTTGATCGGGTTTGGTTTATATTAATATTACCGGATTTAAGCACATGTAGCTGCAAATCATTCAGGAGTTACAGGCCTTAAATATAGATCTAAAATGAATATCGGACTTCTTCAAGTGACACTGACAAAACTCCTTACATGTGCTTGTATTCTTCATTTGCTAACAAGATGTATTTTTATCTAAATTACAGGACAATCGAGGCTTTGAAAAATGGAACCCAGGCAGTAATTTCAGATGGTGAAATCAAGGTAATGTTTAATTATAATAAATTAAGACTCTAAAATTGGACATAGGATAATGCAATCTCTTGTTATCTGTGGTAATGTTGCTTATTTTTAACTCTTGTCTCAGACTTTGTATAAGGATCTCTGCAGCGGTGGAGTGAAGTCTGGCCGCATGTATCTGTGGCACAATCCAGGTGTCTCGCTTAAATTAAAGCAAAGACTAAAGCCACTGATGTTCCACTTTGCTGATGCACAGGTAAATGTATACTGACTTACAATAAGCTGCATCAGATTTATTTATGTGGATGCGTGGTCAGTGGGCCACCTGGGTCCGTTGTCTAATGCTGAGAGGAATGTTTTGTTCATTTTTATGTTAACGTGTTTTATAGGTTGACGAGCTGACAGAGCGGATTGGTTCATGCTCAGGAATAGATAAACTAATAAAGAAGAGAGAGTTCCAGTTTCTGGACTTGGTGTTTGATGTCCTTGTTCCAGAGGTACAACGCTGTCTTCAGCAGTGATTGGTATAAAAGTTACTTTTCCAAAACATTTGACAGTGTATGAAGTAATCCTTAACAGAGTTTGGTGGCAGGAGAATCTCGTCTCTGCTTTTTGCGGATGATGTGGTCCTCCTAGCTTCACCCAGCTCTGACCTTCAGCTCTTGCTGGATAGGTTCGCGGCCGAGTGTGAAGCGGCTGGGATGAGGGTCAGCACCTCCAAATCCATGGTTCTCGACCGGAAAAGGGTGGCTTGCCAACTCCGGGTCGGGGGAGAGGTCCTTCCTCAAGTGGAGGAGTTTAAGTATCTCGGGGTCTTGTTCACGAGTGACGGTAGGAGGGATCGGGAGATCGACAGGTGGATTGGTTCGGCGTCTGCAGTGATGCGGACGCTGAACCAATCTGTCGTGGTGAAGAGGGAGCTGATCCAGAAAGCCAGGCTCTCGATTTACCGGTCGATCTACGTCCCAATCCTCACCTATGGTCATGAGCTTTGGGTAATGACCGAAAGAACGAGATCGCGGATACAAGCGGCCAAAATGAGTTTCCTCCGTAGGGTGGCCGGGCTCAGCCTTAGAGATAGGGTGAGGAGCTCGGACATCCGGAAGGGACTCGGAGTAGAACCGCTGCTCCTCTGGATCGATAGGAGCCAGTTGAGGTGGCTTGGGCATCTGGTCAGGATGCCTCCTGGACGCCTCCCCGGGGAGGTGTTTCGGGCATGTCCTGCCGGCAGGAGGCCCCCGGGTCGACCCAGGACACGTTGGAGAGGTTACATCTCCAATCTGGTCCAGGAACGCCTTGGGGTCCTGCCGGAGGATCTGGTGGAGGTGGCCGGGGAGAGGACGGTCTGGAGCTCCCTAGTTGGGATGCTGCCCCCGCGACCTGGACCCGGACAAGCGGAGGAAGACGACGACGTTGAAGTAATCCTGCATGTTTTTCAGGTAACAATAAAAGTGTTGGAAAAATGGGAGGGGATGAATCGATATGCAGCTGAGAAAGCCATGCTTCAGCAAATTCATTTGTACCCAAAATAAAATGGTTGTGAAATCAAGTGTTTCTTTGGTTTTATTGTCTTTCACTCAAAATAAATACCAACTAGCTAAATAGTTATCAGCTGTAGTAGTTAAATTCTGTTGCAATGAGCTGCTGTGATACACAGTAGGACAGTGTTGTGGATATTTAATAACTAATTTTTGTTGCTGGTGAGAGAGGAGTGTTGCTGAAATGTTTTTCACTGCTTCTGGGAGTCCTGTACTTTAGCAATTGGTGTAGGTCAAAAGTTCATCTTGGGCTTAACAATAAAACTGAATATTTAGCCAGTACTATTTTGTTTGCACATTTTGAAAAGTCTTAGTTTAATGTGTTCTCATTTTATCCATATGTTTTTTTAATTGACTTTACAGCCTTTTATTGTGTGTGTGTATATATACATATGTGTGTGTGTGTGTGTGTGTATATATATATATATATATATATATATATATATATATATATAATTTATATGTATGTATGTATGTGCACCTGTCATAAAAATTCCCTGTCTGAAGAACAAAGGGATTTAATATTCAATTTTCATGCAACGCAGGTAACAACGTTACTTAAGTTTGCCAGTCCAGATCTGAAGAGAAAAAAAATCCGAAATAAAAAGCTTTTTCCGGTAAGTTTTGTTTTTTAAAAAACTACTTCCAGTGAAAGTAATGACCCACCGTGTAATTTTTCTCTTAAATGTGTACAAATCGAAGAGAAAAACGACACGGTATGGTTTTGACAAATCCAAACTACTTTTGTGCTTTGTCAATAAAGCGTATTCAAGAAAAAAAACTACTTCCGGCAAAGGTAATGACCCGAAAAAAACTACTTCCGGCAAAGGTAATGACTTCCGGCGAAGGTAATGACACTTGTTTTTCCGGAAACGTCATTTCCTGTCACGGCAAAGACGCCAGCTGATGTCTGCAGCCAGATGCTCTTGAACTGGACCAACATTTACCACTTGAAAATCATGTCGGTCACCTTTCTAAACTATAATTTTTCCATCTTAAAAACATAGCAAGACTTTGCTCGTTTCTTACCCAAGCAGATGCTGAGAAGTTGATCCATGCCTTTGTTTCATCTAGGCTAGACTACTGCCATTCTTTACTCATTGGAATCTCTAGTGGATGCCTACAGAAACTTCAGCACATCCAGAACTGTGCTGCCAGGATTGTGACAAGGGGTCACAAGTATGACCACATCACACCCGTACTGAAGTCTCTTCATTGGTTACCAATCCCCTATAGAATTAAATACAAATTAGGTCTCCTTACCAGTATCCATGGAAATGCTCCTATTTATCCTAAAGAGCTCCTTACTATCCACATCACCTCAAGAAATCTTCGCTCTAGAAATTCTCAATTCCTGCAACAGCCCAGGACAAAACTTCATTCCATGGGAGATCGAGCCTTTCAAGTTGCAGCCCCACGCCTGTGGAACACACTCCCTGAAACATTGAAAGCATCTCAGAGTGTTGAGTGCTTTAAAAAACATCTGAAGACATTTTTATTTACACAGGCTTTTTCAAACTGATTGGTATTGCTGTTGTTTTACCATGTGTTAACTTAGCATTGTATGGTTTTATGTATTTTTTAAATTTGTTTTTATTGATTGTTTTAAATTTGCCCTGTGTTTTTAATGTCTGATTCGAAACATCTATAAAACTGCATTATATAGATAAAGATTAGTTGTTTTTTAACTGTTCTTTTTAAGAGATCTAATTGATGTTTTAAAATAACTTAACATAAAATACATCAGATTTCCTCCTGACTTGTTTGTTTTTATGTGAAACTTGAACCATTTGTCTCCTGCATCCTGTTGGCTTCAGCTCACATTATTCGGATTGGAGAACTGCAGTTTGTCCAAGATCAGCTGTTCTTCTCTGGACTCAGCTCTGAAGTCCAACCCCTCCCATCTGACACATCTGGACCTGAGTTATAACTACTGTAGCGTGATTAATTGCCCATTTCTGACCTAAAGGCCCTGCTCTATTTGCTCTGCCCAAGCAAAACCATACGTTTCTGACACAAGCCTAATCTACAAGATATGGACCAAGGCCACTCATGCTCTGTGCTCTTATCTAAACTGTTGCTTCCTTGGACAGCACAAGAAAGAAGACGAAGAACTCTTTCTCTTTAAATGATAATCAAATAACCTTGTTAGTCCAAATAACCATGTGAATTTCAATGTTCAATCAATCTGTGAAATGAGAATATTAATTACCATAAATCCTCTAATATTAGCCTGTATTTAATTAACTGCCGGGTATCATATTTTGGCCGGTGTCGGAGTCGGCGGAGGTGAATAATGGCCGGTTTTTTATTGTGGCCGGGTGGAATGTGGTAACAAGCAAGTACGGGGGGCGGTTGTGTCATCTGTCTCACTTTTGATTTGCCAGTGATAGACTGCAAGGGTAACTTTAACCGTGCGGAGACGAAGAGGAGGCGAAAATTTGATATCAAGTTCAAAGAGAACGTGCTGATTATGCTGCAGAACACTGGGGAGCAGTAGCAGGGGTTGTATGAACTAGTCACTAGTAGACTTCACCGCTCTATAGTGACTTTTTATGCCTGTCATCGACTAGTCGCTGTCACGTGATAATGACCGGCAAGATGCAGTCCACGGAAAAGACAGCAGCCTGCTGTCAGCAGGTGACAAGCTCCTGCGTGTCGGGAGGCAAGGCGCTGTGCCAGAGCGTTCGTACTGACACCCGCCGTAAAATGGACATTTAACCAAATTGTGACGTTTACCCTCTTGCAATTTAACCTTCCCCTCACCCCCATCCTAACCTTAACCAGCTTGCGCATGCAAAGCTCTGATCGTTGACACGCTCCAGACATCTGAAGCAGAAACTACCGTTGTTAAAAGAAATGTGCTTAACTTTGAAAATGTGAGCACAATTTTAATCGTCAAAAACTCCAGCGAACCATTAGTTCATTTTGCTCAAATAGAAATTGAGGCCTGCCTCTAATTCTGGTCCTCCTTCCAATAAAGGCCTGGAGCTTGATGAGCTTGAGTCAAATACAGGCCCGGGCCTGTATTAGAGGATTTACGGTACTTGATATTATAATCCTATGATAGTATTTTAATAAGTAATATATCTTTAAACTAGACACTAGACTGATCACACGTAATGCTAAAGTCAGATGACACATTTCCTTTTTCTGATCCAATCAGAACCTTCCAGATCTGACGCAAGACGTGGTTTTGTTGGTGTTTGTATAATCTCCCTTTTTTTTCCTGTCAAAGTCTGATTCAACAGTAAATCAAAACATCCAAATTATAAAACTATGCCCCACGTCATCTTAACTTGAGTTCCAAGCGTTCTAGAGAAGTTATAGGAGTGGCCAATCCGTAACTTTCCTCTTAAAGCCGAAAGAACCTAACTACAAGCTGGATTAAATCTGTTGCATGTTCCACCTGCTGCAACGGTTCCTTCAGAATAAAAGTTGAACCATCATGACCCCTTCAGGGTCTTGCTGATGCCAATAAACTATCGTGACCTGGGAGTGACTCAAGACTGGAAGGGTCGGCAACCGCTGCACATCTACATGTGTCGGTTCCAAGAGGGTCCAAGCTGGACCCCCAACATTCCGGATCTAAACGGGGACTTCCATTGGGGTACGTAGACTGGCAGATGGCGTCTCAATGTGTGTTATAATCTCCAAATCAAAGTTTAGAGCGAAACACCATCTCACTCCCACTCAGAACTAATAGTCTCTCTGGATTTGCTGATTCTGAACATATTTCACACACACACCATCCTCAGTCATACTCCACCTTAGTTACATCATACACGTAGTGTTTAAAGTTAGTCTTGTTTAATTTGTTTAGAAATAAATCTTCTAACTTCTATTTCTATTTTCTGACTCTCTCTCCTTCTTGGAGTTGATACGAAGTGTTATCTAATCCCTTCACTAAAAAGTTCCGATCTTGTGCTTAAATTTATTCAAAGATCCATTGAGGTGATATTTCACATTCTATGGTTTCTAATTAAATGTAAGAACATCTCCTCTACACTACTACCTGCAGGATCCAGATGTGCAGCAGTTGCTGGATCTTGTGAAGAGTCCAGACTACAAACTGGAGACTGTGAGGTCAGTAGATGGTTTGAGTGGGTCCAGGCTGCTGTCAGCAGGACTGAACTAAACCCTGAATGTTTTTGTGTCCATGTCTACAGTTATAAACATATAATCCTGACAAGAGTCCCAGACATACCTGAGCATCCTCACTCATCAAACTGTCCTCCTAATCATCAGTGGTTGAAGCAACAGCCGTTTGTGTGTAGAGATGCTCGGATTGGATCAGGAATAGGTTTGTAGTTTAGCATATTTTCTAATTGTGTGTTCTAACATCTCCTGTTTCTATTTTTAACCTCATTTTATCAATCATTTTAAAATTGAGCTTCTGTTGTGCATCATATACGAATATAGATAGATAGATGATAAAATTTTGGTGTACAGTCATGTTGGATCCCAGATGGACACAGGAACCAGTTCCAGTCAGATCCCAGCAGGATGGAGGAGGGTTACTGTCATTGAGGAGCAGCTAGTTGAACCAAAGCTGCTACCAGTTTCTACAATATTCTTTCTTCAAGCTTCAGCAAGATATCTGCAGAGCTGAATAAGGCTGTCATCTTTCTGCAGGATGACGCTCCATCACAAGTAGCCAAGTCCTCCACTGCTGCTCTTTCTAGAACGTAGTTCCCTGATCACTGATCTTCTGAGGACTAAACTCACTTTTCATTTTTTAAACTTTCATCATGTTTGAGCTTCAGTAACATGTTGGATTTGTTCAACAACTAAAGAAATGCACAGAAATTAATCTTGTGTCAAAATTGAGCTGTAATGGGGAACATCTTACTGTTACTTTTTATGCGTAAACTGTTGAATCAAGTGTGGAAACACATGCAGAAAACAGAAGGGTTACTCAAAACCCTGACGTGTTTTTCAGAGTTCTTATTGTTTAAACTAGTGACTCCTAGAATATAAACTGTTTTCTGTTGTGCAACAACAATCTCCTCTGTAATTAGGAGTAGAAGTAATATTAATAATGCTGAGTTCATGCTTTAACTTCAGAGTCATGCTCTCTCTGTGTGGTGTAGTTGTTGTATGCAAAAAATTTGTGATTTTTACAGTGGTATGAAAAAATTGTGGCAGTGATGATAATTTTCATGATATTCTTTTATAAATCATTAGTTGTTTGGATCAGCAATTTGAGTTAAATTCATCATATAGCAGGGCTGCACAGTGGACAGCACTGTTACCTTGCAGCAAGGAGGTCCTGGGTTCTCGTCCCGGCCTGGGGTCTTTCTGCAGTTTGCATGTTCCCCCTGTGAATGTGTGGGTTCTTTCTGGGTACTCTGGCTTCCTTCCACCATCCAAAAACATGACTGTCAGGTTGATTGATGCCTATAAATTGTCCTTAGGTGTGAGTGTGTGTGCATGTTTGTTTGGCCTGTGTTTCTTTGTGTTGCCCTACGATGGACTGGCAACCTGTCTAGGGTGTACCCTGCGTGCTAGCCCAAAGACAGCCGAAGATATGCTTAACACTCATTAAAGAATCTCTTACTGCTTTTTAATGAGAAAATTGTAAAGATTTTCAGGTTATATGGGAAAAAAAGAAAGAAAACTTTATTTTTCTCAAAAAAAAATTATCAGTTCAAATTCAGATTTAAAGCAGAATGCTTAAATATCTTATGTCAGATACATTTGGTCAGCTTGAAAAAGGTGGCGCTCCTGCAGCTGGTAATTGGAGTTCAGACGTTGGTCAGCTGCCCTGCGATGGACTGGCTCTCTGTCCAGGGTGTACCCCGCCTGATTGCCCATTGACCGCTAGAGATATGCACCAGCCCCCCCCAACCCCCCCCCCCCCCCCCCCCCGCCCCTACGTGGACAAAGCGGGTTAAGACAATGGATTTTGATCAGCCATGTTTCAGTCAGGATAAAGACGTATCAGGTCCATCTTGTTGTCCAGTGGGTAGGGGTTGTTAAAGTCTCCCCAGTAAAAACACAGAAAACAGTTCAGACTGATCTAAATGTTAAAATCTGACCAGATGGAATAAAATAAATATTTATCATTCATCAGAAAACAGTTGGTAAAATAAATCATTACAAAGTAGAGACTAGAGATGATTCTGTTGTTAAATGAGTTTTAGGTCAGAGTTTATAAACTCATGACAACCAAAAGATCACTTTGTTAACACTGATATTAATTTGTGACATAACTGATAATAAATCCATATTAAATCCTCAAGTGGACTTGTTTGGTGTATTTAAGAAATGAAAGGCATTTCAAGAATAAACATTTATGTTTATTCATTCATTACTGTAAAGCAGTCAAGACATTGTTAAATCACTTTAGATAAAACATTCATTGCAGATAAAACAGGACATGATTTTAAATAACTTGTAAAGTAAGGAAATCATTTACAAGACCAAATAAGATTCTTTATTAAAGTTATAAAGAGTCACTTCTTGTGAGGAACCCTGTGCTTCTGCAGGCAATGAAGCAGGGGAGAGATTGTTATGATGGCGTCTCCAGATAGCAAGGTCACGAGCAGTGTGTTTTCTGGTTTGGAGAGCAGACAGTTAACTTGTGGCACACTGATGACGCAGTCTGTGGAGTGTGTCTCAACCTTTGCATTCCATTGCCTTCTCCAACGCTACAACTGCCAGTGTGTGTATGTGTGTGTGTGTGTCTTTAGAAACATATAGAATCATTTCGGTAATGTTCAGATTTAAAATGACGACATTTTGATAGTCAACATAGTTCAAGAACATGAACCATCCTGTCATCTGTCCTCCTCTGGACCTTTCTGTGAACAGAAGAAAACATGACATGAAGAAAGTCTGACCCACAGCTGTGCGATTATTATTATAATAAAATACAACCTGGAAACTTCACCTTGAGTTTTTCAAGGAGACCTGCTTTACGAAGGTTCCCAAAGGCTCTGAGAAGCTTTGGAGTTGGAGGTTTTTGTCCAAACAAAGCTAAACCTTTCTGCTTTTCCTCTTTGGCTTGAGCTCCTGTTGCAGCTTTGGATTTCATCAGCTGTCTTTTGAAAGACAAACACACACCATCCTCAGCAGATGACACATAAAACCTTGTTTAACAGGAACTTAACTGACCTGCCCTTCTTGGCCAGAACCTTCTGAGACTCTGGGTAGTGAACCAGAATATCAAATAAGTCCTTCTTCTCCAGGACAAAGAGGTTTGCAAATCCGTAAGCCTTCACATTTGCCGTACGCCTGTTTCCTCCATCTTTAGCTGACTGGAGTAAACTGTGGAGGAGGAGCAGACAGTCCTGGATTTATAGTTTCTGATTCAAATCCTAGAATCCTTCTGAAATAAATCTGCACTGTGTTTTATATACTAATAAAACAATTTTTTTTTGGTAACAGTTTAAGAAATTAGGTCAACCACTCAATACTTTTGAACAGACTAGGATCAGGGGTGGGTGTTAAAGGGACCACTCTCAACTGGTTCAGATCGTACCAATCAACCTATCCCGTTTTTACGTCAGTATTGACAAACACTCCTCAGCTGCTGCTTTTCTCCCCTGAAGGGGGGTTGCCCAAGGCTCAATCCTCTGCCCCTTACATTTCGCAATCGACTTGCCTCCTCTAGGGAAGATCCTGGCCAAGCACACACTGAGTTGTCACATCTATGCCGATGTCTGCCAGCTTTGTCGTTTTCTCTGATTGCTTCTTTGCTTCTCAAAAAGGTTTGTTTAAAACTTTCTGAAACTCAATGACAGCAAGACTGACGTCAGTATTTTTAACCCTAAAAACTTATCTAACTCTCCCAGCGTTCCTTCACTTCGGCCTGCTTGTATAAAAATGTGGATTACCGGCCTAGGGTTCAAAATAAATTCTGATCTGTCCATGACACCACAAATCAACTCCACTCTGAAGTGTTGTTTTTTCCAACTTCACCATTTAATATAGTTAAATGCCTTTACCAAGAAACCACGCTTTTCATTATCCATCCATTTTTTTTACCTCTCAAATTGAATACGTCAACTCCATTCTAATTGGGATGAACGCTTCCTGCATCAGCAGGATACAGAAAGTACAAAAAGCAGCTGCTAGGTTTCTCACTGACACTGATGGATGAAGCCATATTACCCCTATTCTGGATGACTTACATTGGGTTCCAGTGCGCTACTGGGTTAGCTTCAAGCTAATAATGCTATAGGCTAAAACAAATTGAAAGACTTTACACCTCTTTATGTAAGCAAGTTGCTTTTACCATATGCCCCAACTCATTCCCTCCAGTCTGCTGACATTAGGCATCTGCGTGTTCTGAAGATGTCCCACAAATTACTTTGGGAGCGAGTGTTCTCTCATGCTGTGTCCAAACTATGGAATGCTCTCCTGCTTCATATTAGGTGGACTCCATCTTTGAACAATTTTAAGTCACAGCTGAAAACTTACTGCTTTAGCTTAGCTTAAATCAGTTTGTACTGTGCTGTTCTGTTCTGGCTGAGATGCTGTGTACTATGCAAAACTGGCATAACTGTAACGTTTTATCACCTTGTCTGTGTGGTCTCTCGTGCTATGAAAATTGATGGACATTTTAAAAACATCCTGCTGTTTGAACCAACTTAACCTGATTTCTCCAAACACACAGCCAGCCTTCAGTGTAACGAAAACAATGCTGTTGTCAGGTCCTCCCACCACTTGCACCGCCCCACTTTTGATGATGTACATCTCTTTTCCGATGTCGCCCTGCAGAGGAAAGCACAGGGTATGGGATTAGATTTGTGCCAATAAGATCAAGAAAAACACTTTGAAGATCAAACAAATTTTAAGACATTGAGAGAAAAAAACATTTGTTTCAAAAGAAAAACTTACGATCTGAATCAGATTCTTAAAATGATCAAGAAAAACACTTTGATGGTCAAACAAAAATTAAGAAATTGACAGAACAAAAATATTGACTAAAGGGAAAAAAAGTTTCAAAAGTAAAACTTGCTATCTGAATCAACTTCTTAAAATGAGTAACAAAGTATGTTTCCTTTTTCTGTTTGCCTCTATGTGTTTTTGTTATCAGTTTCCTTAGTTTCGTTCTCGCTGCTCACAGCTTTGCTCTCAATACCAGATTTGCACTCACACTTTCTGGCTTTCTCCTTTGCAATCCCTGAGTTTTTGGTTGCAATTCTGACACAACCCTTTCAGGTGGGTGGGACTTCTGAGAAGCCCTCTCTCATAGGACTGTGGTTTCTCTTGAGTGACAGTTCAGCGACCCGGAAGTGATGTAGCCTCCAAGATTTTTTTCCCCACCTCGGTCAACAACATGAATTTTGAGCCCCAAAACGTTATTTCTGCTGTCTGTGGTGCCTACTAAGGATCTAAAGTGAGTATTGATAATATATTTTATCTTTTCTTAGTTAATCTGTAAGTTAAGCCACTTTTAAAGTTGGTTTAACCAGACGTTAGCTCACTAGCTAGCTGCTAAGCAAGCCATTTAACTAGCCTCAGGAAAGCCAGACAGTGTAAGTGCAAATCTGGTATTGAGAGCAAAGCTGTGAGCAGCGAGAACAAAACTAAGGAAACTGATAACAAAAACACATAGAGGCAAACAGAAAAAGGAAACATACTTTTTTACTCATTTTAAGAAGTTGATTCAGATAGCAAGTTTTACTTTTGAAACATTTTTTTCCCTTTAGTCATTATTTTTGTTCTGTCAATTTCTTAATTTTTGTTTGACCATCAAAGTGTTTTTCTTGATCATTTTAAGAATCTGATTCAGATCGTAAGTTTTTCTTGTGAAACGAATATTTTTTCTCTCAATGTCTTAAAATTTGTTTGATCTACAAAGTGTTTTTCTTGATCTCATTGGCACAAATTTAATCCCATAACAGGGCAGCAGTATGGAGCTCCACTTAGATCACAGAACCTGGGTCAGGTAATGCCATGATGATCAGGACAGCTCACCTTCTTTACAACAAAGTCCCCAGGTAGGTAGATGATAGACTTGAGTCTCAATAACATGTCCACCAACATCTGCTGGTCACAGCCCTGAAAGAAATGGTTGTCAGTCCCATGGAGGTAAATTCATGCTCAAAAATTTCTGAAAGAGGCAAGCCAGCCTTGGGTAACTCACCTGAAACAGAGCAATCTTCTGGAAGGTGGCCAGGTTTATGTCCACAGCGATGGCAATCCTCATCACTAGAGGCATCTTGTCCAGCAGCTCAGACTCATCTGTAGAGGACAAGAAGTGGATTAAAGGACAGGATCTCTCAGTTTGTTAGGTAGAACAAATAAAATTCAATACCTCATCTGTGAGTAAATGTTGTACTACCTAAGGAATGAAACTCTCACCTAGCATTCCTTGAGAATCCCAGGTGTAGTTGTACCAGGTACGGACCCTGTTCTGGACCAGCTTTGGGATGGTGTAAGTGTTCATGTAGGCAACACAGCCGTCCATTGATGCCCGGAAGTGCGTCTGAGCTGCTGTCGCTGCTCCTATGACATCTCTCATCTGACAAAAAGAGACAGAACCAGTAAAAGACTGCAGCCTGAAACAAAATCCTGATTATATTATATTAGTTTATCAGTTTCCACCTGTCCAATCAGACTGGAGAACACAAAGACACCAATGAAAAAGTTTGCCATCTGAAAGACAATCTCAAAGAGAGTTACAGGTTCTGGAAGACCGCCGATGTTGATGAGACTTCGAACTGCAAAGTAATAGCAACGCAGATACCTGTGGAGGAACAGGAACAGAACAATAATAGAAACATTTCGTCTGTTGCTGGAGAATCAACTTCATAAAGTTAAGACTAAATATTTTATGGCTGAATATTTATTGTAGTAAGATAAAAGCTATTTTGATTTTATAATTTAGACTATTTAGGTTCAACTCTGCCTCCTGAATTTTTCTTGAAATGTGAACTCTAGGTATTTAAGGTTTGGGTTGGGGTTAGGGTTAGCACCAAGCCATGCTTTGATAGAGGATTAAATTAAATTTTTACGTAAATGAAGCATCTCCAGACCTACAAAAAAGTCTCAGAAGCCATGGTCCAAGCCCTACAGGAGGTTGGCCATTACGCATTGAGAAGGGTCAAATCTTTGGCATGCATCAAGCAGACAAAACATCAAAGGAAATTGTAGAAACAACTAAAAGTGAGTTAATAACTGTCCAACACATTATTAAAAACTGGTCTGATGAGTCCAGAGTGATGGGTGCATCAGGGTAAGAAGAGAGACAGATGAAGTGATGCACCCATCATGCCTAGTGCCTACTACACAAGCCTATGGGGGCAGTGCTATGATCTGGGGTTGCTGCAGTTGGTCAGGTCTAGGTTCAGCAACAGGATTTGCTCCAAATGATAAATTATGATAAATGACCCGCATTTGTATAGCGCCTTTCAGAGTCAGAGGACTCCAAAGTGCTTTACACCAAAGTGTCTCATTCACACATTGATGATGATGGGACACAGTGACAGAGCCAAGGCTGTCGAGCACGGGCGCCAAAAGTCCCTCTGACCACCACTAGCAAGCAAGGTGGGTTAGTAGAATTCTCTGTCTAGAGCTGGGATTCGAAACAACAACCTTTCAATTACTGAACAACCTGCTCAACCACTTGAGCTACTGCTGCCCCAAGAATGAGGTGCGTCAATGCAAGATCTTGGTGAGACATTAATTTACCACTGGATGGAAATAAATCAGGTGACATTAAAGAAGCTTATTGAAACAATGCCACAGAGAATGTGTGCCGTAATCAAAGCTAAAGACAGTCCAACGAAATATTAGTGTGTGACTTTCTTTTTGTTGTGACTTTTTTTGCTATTTTGTTCCATCACAGAGCAGCCATAAATGAACCACTATCACACCTTGCTTTAAAATCAGACATGTAAAAAACCTAACATACGCAGTTCCTTTCCCATCGTACACCCAGGTAGTTGTAGCGAGACCCTGAAACACCGATGCAACATAGTAGGCACACGCGTTGAGGTGGAGCATGTAGAGCAGGTAGCCTGTGGTACGGGCCACTCTGTGTAAGGACACAAATATGAAAAAGAGATTAGATTAGATAAATAATTTCAAACAGATTGTCATCATCCTATATTGAAATACTCAGCACAATCTAAAAGCTCATCTGACTTGAGTTCTGTCCAACCAAACCCAGCGCTGTCCCACCTTTTTCATAAAAATAAAATGTGCTGAAGAGCATTTACCTCCAGATGTAAGCTTTAGCCATGATGCTCTCAAGCCTGTCACTGAACTCAAAGAAAGATTCAAACTAAAATTGAAACACAGAAAAAGTGAAGATATGGAATTTTAAATCTTGAAGTTAACTTTGTCTTTATTTTAGTAAAAACAGCCTGACGGAGACCCACCCTGATGAAACGGTTGAATCTGTATATGGAGGAAAATCCAAAGTAGAGAGAGAGAAGATCAAAGGGGAGGATGCTGATGATATCGGTCTAGAAAAGAGAAATTACAAACTAAAGTCAGTAAATCCTGCTGCACAGCAACTGCTGCAGTTCTGTGGTTTCTGTTTTCTAAATATTTTGTTTGGTAAAAATATGTATTTGTAAATATTACCTTACATTTATGGTAAAAAGGCTGTGTAGGAGGTGGGAAATTATCCAAAAACACCTGAGTACATATCTAAGAAGAGTGATTTATAAAGAGAGAATTGCATGCCGCTGTGCATATGCTGTGTTTTATCGGTCTGACAATACATTTGCATGAGAAAACTTCTTCTGCTGAGCTGCAGCACACTTTTCTGTTTTATAATGGAGGCCCTTTATTTTTAGAGTTTAGAGTTAGGTGGGTTTGAACAACTTTTGTCCCTTAAATTAAATCATCATTCAAAACTGTATTTTGTATTTATTTAGGCTTTCTCTGTCTTTGTTGGATGACCTGGAACTGTTAGGTGTGGCAAAAACAAAACAAACAAAAACAAAAATAGAAGTCTGCAAGATGGGAGACACGTTTTTACAGCTTCTGTATTAAAAACACCCTTAAAATAATTAACACTACATTGAAAATCCAAATACTGGTGGTAAAAGAAATTAATTATTACTTAGAGCTGAGGTCTTGTATTTAAGTCAATTATTTAGTTGCTTTTCAATTCAGAGTGGTTTATAAAATTCTCACCTTAAATCGGTTTGATTTCCGATAATGCACTTTCGTCCTTGCTCTGTCTTTCTGCAAGGAAAAGAGGAATTAAATGTGACTGTTGAATAATAACTGACTGACACCAGAAACTTACATTCTGTTATCATGAAATTCTGGTTTTCTGTAACATTTCTCTATATTTGCCTCTCTTCCAGGATCCTATCAATGTGCAATTTACATTGATTGTTTTAAGGTGAGCAGAGGACTGAATGTGTTAATATGTGCTTCAGAACATGCCTGCTGAAAATTTGTCAGTTTAATTTCTCTCACAGCTCTGTTCGATGTAACTTCAGTTTTTGAAGCTGCACTATAAACCTTAAAATTAAGTTAAACTTCGCTACTGTTGAAGTCATAAGGAAAGGAACACATCTATCCTTTCATACCTAGGGAAAACAATGAAATATGTGTTGCACGTCTGCAAATTTAAGCATTCAAAGCATATGTTCCGATTGAACCTTGGATAGCCCTGAAACCTTAAGGTCATGCACCACCTAGACAAAAACTAGAAGACTCATTGATGGTTGGGAGCAGAGCCTTGACCTGATACATTTATAAATATGTATGTTTATGTTTGATTCCTCATGTCACTTGAGCTTTGAACATGTTTGGTAACAGCAGTAATTTCAAACAAGAGGGAAAAGGTATATAATAAACAACCAATCAAGAGGCACTGCAGGACAAATTCAACATTCCTATGTTTTGTCTAGTTGGCATGCAACATTACGGGGTCATTAAACCCCTGAGTGCAATTCTTCAGAGAAACAGTACTGTGTGACTTACAATGATGTCTCCACTTTTAACAAACTGCAGTCGAGGTTGCCAGATCACAATGTCAACAACATTCACAGCATCAGAAAGAATGTCAAAAGAAATCCAGAATGGGTTAGTGGTTGTGCTGTGGTAAGGGAAGGCCAGCCGGGCAGGACAAAGCCAGACGTTGTAGTTGTACGCCACAGCTACGACAGTTAGCCAGGCTATATAGCGACGATCTGGTGAGAAAAAAAAGAGGTTTAGTTGCTGTATTTATGAAATGTTTTGATTCAAAGTCAGACCTGCTTAGCTTTAACTTGATCTACCTGTAAAAGGATCAATGGTGCTTCCCAGAACAGCATCCATTTTCTCTTCGATTGGGTGAAGGAGGATGTCAAAGAAGGAGCAGCTGATATCTGGGAGGATCTTTGCCTTTTTCCTGGCCTCCTCTGCCAGCCTCTCCTCTTCTGCTTTCTTCTCAGCCTCTAGCTGTTTCTCCTCATCCTTCTTCTTCTTCTCCTCTGCCTTTTTAGCTGCTTCTTCTGCCTTCCTTTTATCTTCCTCTTCTTTAGCTAATCTCTCCTCCTCCTTCATCTGGATGTAGTCCTCTTTCTTCAATATCGGTGCTGACATGACAAAACAGACAACAGATTTGGTGCCATGTTTGTGTTTTCACTTGCATGATTGTGTCTAAACTTACTAACTGGTGGGGTGATTTCTGGTGAAGTGGCATACATGTCTATGACTTTTTGTTTGAGTCCCTCATTTCGCTCTCTTAACCTCTTGATGACGTTTCTGAGGACATCATCTGCGTAGCGAGAGTAGACAACAGGTGGCACAGGAGGAGATTTGTTAC